GGCTAGGATCTAGTGGTCATCCCAGCCAGCGAGGTTAGGCTTGGAAGGTGTGCGTGAGGGTCACAATATAAACTCACAGCCAGGGTCTGGCAGCCCCGGTGGTGCAGCAGTTTAGCGCCGCCTGCAGCCCGGGGTGTGATCCTGGAAGCCTGGGATCGAGCCCCGTGTCGGGCTCCCTGCATGGAACCTACTTCTCCCTCTGCTTGTGTCTCTGCCTCTATCTGAATTAAAAAAAAAAAAAAATCTTTAAATTCACAGCTAAGGCCGCCTTTTGTTCCAGGCCTGTTTGGGAAACACCAAGAGTTGAAATTTTAAAGTGTGTTCTCTGAAATAAGCGGATACAAAAGCAACTGTGAGGGGCTCCTAAGTGGCTCAGTGGGTTAAGCCACAGACTCTTGGTTTCAACTCAGATCAAGATCTCAAGGTCGTGAGATAGAGTCCTGCATCAGTCTCTGCCCTTAGCAGGGAGTCCACTTGGGGCTCTCTCCCCCCTCTGCTCCTCCCCTCTACTCTGTCTCTGTAAAATAAATCTTAAAGAAAAGAAAGGGGGGACAGCTGTGATGCTGTCTTAGCTTTAGCAATACCGTGGGAATGGTTTTGAAGAAATAACACGCAAGCATTCTAGATGGCAGTTTCACCACCTGGCTGCTGGTAACTAATGTTACTGGAAGAGGATTCTGGAGCGTCTGCCTACTGTTTTGTCACTTTAGGTCGTGGGCGCTCTCTGCGCTCTAGTCCAGGCTGCCTCACATGCAGCGACAGGGAGCTAGGACAGAGACAAATATAGTCCTAAGCTTTTAAGTTAATATAAATCGGCCACTATAACTTTATAGAAATGTCCAAAAGCTGTTAAAATTATATAATAGTAGCTGTGAATTTTTTTGAAAGGTAAATAAAATCTGAGAATACTTTCATCCACAAATTGGTCTACTTCCAATTTAAAATGGGGAACCCTGGGTGGCTTAGTGGGTTAAGTGACTTGATTTCCCTCAGGTCATGATCTGGGGAGTCTGAGAATTCTCTCTCCCCAACCCTCTACTCACACGCTCTCCCTCTGTGTGGCTCTTTCAAATAAATCTTTTAAAAAATATGTATCTAGGGGCTGCCCAGTTGGTGCAGTGGTTTAGCACCGCCTTTTTGGCCCAGGGCATGATTCTGGAGACCCAAGATCGAGTCCAGCGTCGGGATCCCTGAATGGAGCCTGCTTCTCCCTCTGCCCGTGTCTCTGCCTTTCTGTGTCTCTCATGAATAAATAAAATCTCAAAAATATGTATCTTTGAAGGCTCCTGTCCAGCTCAGTCCATAGACCATGTGACTCTTGATCTGGGGATCCTGAATTTGAGCCCCACGTTGAGTGTAGAGATTACTTAAATTTTGAAAAAAACATGTCTTTTCATGTTAATTGGCTATTCAGAGTCGCCTGTTCTGTGAATATTTACCCATTGATTTTCTTATTGAAGAACAATAACAGTTCGTTATGTACTCTTAAGTTTAAAAAAAAATAATCTTGTTTTCATCCTTTGTCACTTAAGTATTGCAAATATATTCTCTCAATGTGCAGCTTTTTACTGTTCTTGATGTATATTATACGGAATATCTAATTTTAATGTAACTAAAATTTAATGATCTTTCTCATTAGTTTCTACCTAGTTTTCCTTTTTTCTTTTTTTTTTTTTTTTTTGAGAGAGAGAGAGAGCAGGTAGGGGAGGGCGGTGAAGGACAGAGATAAAGAGAAAGAATCTTAAGCAGGTTCCATCTTCATTATGGAGCCTGTCATGAGGCTCCATCTCACGGCCTGAGCTAAAATGATCATGACCTGAGCTAAATTCAAGAGAATCCTATGCTTAACCAACTGAGCCACCTAGGCATCCCACTACCTAGTCTTTTTATATTTTTAAAAGATTTTTATTTTATTCACAAGAGATACAGACACAGGCAGAGGGAGAGGCAGGCTCCATGCAGGGAGCCCAATGTGGGACTTGATCCAGGGACCCCAGGATCATGTCCTAACCCAATGGCAGATGCTCAACCACTGAGCCACCCAGGAATCCCCCTAGTCTTTTTAAAGAAATCCTTCCTCAATTAAGAACATAAAGACATTCTCTTGTATATTCTTCCAAAACTTTTTGAGTTTTGCCATTCAAATTTAGGGCCCCAGGGGTCAGCAAACAGCACCCTATCGGCAAAATCCAACCCCTAGCCTGTTTGAGCTCCCAAACCACTTTCCAACAAGAAAGTCACTGCACCTACAAGGGTTAAGTACTTCCCAACTTTCCCTTGCCATACCCAAAATTTTAAAAGGTTCTCTTCAGGGAACCTCACTGGCTCAGTCAGTGGAGCATCTACATCTTAATCTTGGGGCTATAAATTCAAGTCCCACGTTGGATATGGAGATTACTTAAAAATACAAGGGTCTCTGTAAAGGATCTCCCTACTACAAAGGTGGAAAATATGTGACTCATCTTAAGTCATCCTTGCCCACTGTCAGCCAAACCCTATTTGCAGGGAAGTAACTGCTATCAGATAACAGGGTAGGTAAAGCTTACTCTCTCCAGGTTAAATTTTAATTCTAAATCTAGACTTTTTAAAAAGTATTTATTTATTTATTCAGAGAGAGAGAGAGGGAGAAGTAGGCTCCATGCAGGAAGCCCGACGTGGGACTCAATCTCAGGTCCCAGGATCACACCCTGGGCTGCAGGCAGCGCTAAACCTCACTGCGCCATCAGGCCTGCCCCAAATCTAAACTTTTATTAATATATTTAAAGTATCTACGTGGGGTGCCTGGGTGGCTCAGTTGGTTGGGTGTCTGCCTTCAGCTCAGGTCATGATCTCAGGGTCCTGGGATCAAGGCCCTGAATATCTCCTGCCTGCTGCACCCCCTGCTTGTGCTCTGTTAAGTAAATAAACAAAATCTTAAAAAATAAAGTATCTACGTGATCATGTGTGATTGAATGTTATATAAATTACCTCTTGACAAACTATGCCTATGTCTTTGCCTCTCCGTGTCTCTCATGAGTAAATGAATTCTTTAAAAAAATCATCTTTGTCTTCAAAATAGTGCTCTTGTCAACTTCCCTGGCCTTATATGCAAGACAATGGACAGCTTCTGGTCCTTCATGAACAAATCCTTTGGAAAAGCAGACAGTAGAACAGTAGTATTTATTTTGGTAACCGTTACATCATTTTGTAGGTGACATTTCATAACCACCCTTCACACCCCCAAGATTTGCAAACCTTTCCCATGTGTAAGACTGTTGGTTCTTGGGTTTGGGATAGAAAGTTTATCAGTGTCCCTGGAATTAATGTTAGCTGTTCTTGGTTTCCTCTCAGGATATATTGTACTGTTAAGGTGAGTACAGCGGCTAGTCTACATTGCTAATTGAAAACATGGAGATGGATGTTTTACCCCTCTTTACAAAGGCTGGTTTTGGTTATGTGGCTAGTAAGTATAAAAGACTCCTGAGTAAATGTGTGCCTTGATTTCCCTAAAATGGAGATTCTTCACATAGATGTTGGTGACTTATGATTCGGAGACAAAGACTGTTCCATGACTGATAAAGGTCCCTAGAATCTGAGCCTGCATGTCACAGAACACCTGTGTTTGTTTGTTTGTTTGTTTATTTATTTATTTATTTTTATTTATATTTACCTGTGTTTTATATTTTCTCAGCTATGTTGTAGTTTTTGTTGTTATTGGAATCTTATTTTTTTTTAAGATTTCATTTATTTATTCATGAGAGACACAGATAGAGAGACAGAGACCTAGGCAGAGGGAGAAGTAGGCTCCATGCAGGGAGCTCGATGTGGGACTTGATCCCAGGACTTCAGGATCACACACCTTAATGTTTACCTGTTTTAGATTTTCTCAGCTATGTTGTAGTTTTTGTCTTTATTTGAGTCTTATATAAGTCATGGAGTTGTGTTGAGGAGATTCAATCACCTTAAACTGGCTACCTGCTATCATTGCAATTCCCTCATTTTTAAAAATTTATTTACTCATGAGAGACAGAGAGAGAGAGAGAGAGACAGAGACAGAGACAGAGACACAGGCACAGGGGGAAGCAGGCTCAATGCAGGGAGTCTGATGTGGGACTCAATCCTGGGACTCCAGGATCATGCCCTGGGCTGAAGGCAGATGCTAAACCGCTGAGCCACCCAGGGATCCCCTCAATTCCCTCATTTTAATGTAAACCAATGTGCTTGAAAAGGCAACCTACTTTTGCAAAATTAAAATCAAACTCATTGTATCTTAGAGTTTAATCTCCATTTAAGAAAATAATTTGAGACTTTCCAGCTACAGTTTAGAGAGGGATTAATAAAAAAAAAATCTCTGAAGTTTCACTTTTACTCTTTGAAAGGGAAGCATACCTTGTACAGTACAGGGGAAATAGAAGACTACTTTGACTTTACGGAAAAGTTACATTGTCCAATCAAGCAGTACCAAGACCAAAGCTAGTATTTAATTTCTGTCTTCTGATATCAGGGACAATCTCTCAAACTGTTTATAGAGTTCAAAGGGGCATAAAACTTGTGAATACTCATTATCTTCAGGCCCCAAATATCTGATCAGTTTAGAAGAAACAAAATTCTTTATTACAGATACTTCAACTGTATTTCATCCAGCCTAAGATACTTTTGATTGTGTGACCCACAGTTACTTTACATACTAAGTTCTCCATTTAAATGTCAAGTCAGGGGATCCTTGGGTGGCTCAGCGGTTTAGCACCTGCCTTTGACCCAGGGCGTGATCCTGAGGTCCCGGGATCGAGTCCCACATCGGGCTCCCAGCATGGAGCTTGCTTCTCCCTCTGCCTGTGTCTCTGCCTCTCTTTCTCTCTCTGGTATACATAAATAAAATCTTAAAAAAAAAAAGTCAAGTCATTAACTGTATGCTACATTCAAACTTCATTGTTAACTATGTGGGGGAAAATATTCTATCTTTGAATCAATGAAAAAACATTTTACTCAAGGAACATTCAAAATCCAGGCCCATTTACAAATACCAGGAAACAGTGCAGTGGCAAGGGAGGGGATATTCAGTATTTTATTAAGATGTCTTGTTAAAATAATGAACCATGTAGTTCAATTACAATTACAACTTATGTAGCACTGTAATGATATCAAGATTCAATGCAGATATTCTATTAGCAAGTTTTGTGTACATTTAAGTACATGCACTAAGGAGTCACGTTGTTTTGCTAACACATTCAATTCCCAATTATGAACAATCATTTTAATAATAAAAATAGATGTAAAACACATATTCTCATAGTTCTGATATAATTTTTGCTTTGTTTTCTGACAAATGTATTTATTTACATACTTAAAATATTCCATAATGCTGCTTAATATGTCACAATTCCAGGAAATGACATCCCTTGTAAAATGATAACCAAAAAAGATACCTCAGACTCATTATAGAATTTTTTCATCAGCGTCAATTCTGATACCAGTGTGGCTGGATTTCATGCCAACAACATCCTCACAATCAATATAGACACACACAGATGTTCCCTCCTATTTTCTTTCTGGCTACATTCAATTGACATATATGCATGAAGGTATTTCCTCCTGTCTGGCATTCTACCCAGTACCATACTCTTGTAAGGTGTGAGTCTGGGGAAAAAAAAAAAAGTGTGTCCACATCTGTGGTCTTAAGATTTCATTCCTATGTAAACTCTGGTGTAATCAGCTATTTACTTTCAATGACAACTTTTGGATATTTACTTCATGATTTCTCTCCTCTATGAGTTTTCTGATGTAAAATGAGGCTGAATTTGTGGGAGAAAGTTTTCCAACACTCATTGCATCCATAAGGTTTCTCCACTGTATGAGTTCTTCGATGTATACTAAGATGTGATTTCTGAGTGAAAGATTTCTGACATTCACTGCATTCATGGGGCTTCTCTCCTGTATGTGTCTTCTGATGCAAAACGAGGCTAAACTTAATAGAAAAGTTTTCCCACATTCACTGCAACTGTAGGGTTTCTCTCCTGTATGGATTCTCTGGTGAATAATAAGGCTAAACTTGTGAGAGAAAGTTTTCCCACACTGGAGGCATTCATAAGGTTTCTCTCCTGAGTGAATTCTCTGATGAATAAGGAAATAGGACTTCCTGCTGAAGGCTTTGTGGCATTCACTGCATTCATAAGGTTTCTCTCCAGTGTGAGACCTCTGATGAATAGTGAGGTGAGACTTTTGAGTGAAAGCTTTCTGACACTGACTGCATTCATAGGGTTTCTCACCTGTATGTGTTCTTTGGTGTAGGATGAGACTAAACTTGATGGAGAATATTTTTCCACATTCACTGCACCCATAGGGTTTCTCTCCTGTATGAGTTCTCCAGTGAGTATTGAGGAGTGACTTTACACTAAAGCCTTTCCCACATTCACTGCAATGATATGGTTTCTCTCCAGTGTGAGTTCTCTGGTGTCTAATGAGCTCAGATCTCTGGATGAAGGCTTTTCCACATTCATTGCATTCATAAGGTTTTTACCCTGTATGAGTTTTTTGATGTAAAATGAGGCTAACTTAAGGGGGAAATTTTTCCCACATTCATCACAACCATAGGGTTTCTCTCCTGTGTGACATCGCTGATGAATAATGAGCTGTGACTTGTTGATGAAGCTTTTCTCACACTCACCACATCTGTAGGGCTTGTCTCCTGTATGAATTCTTTGATGGGAAGTGAGTTGTGACTTATCGATGAAGCTTTTCTGACATACACGACATTCAAACCGTTTTTCTCCTGTGTGAGTTCTCTGATGTTTAATAAGGCATGACTTATCAGTAAAAGCTTTCTCACATTTATTGCATTCATAAGGTTTCTCTCCTGTATGGGTTCTCTGGTGTAAAATGAGATGCAATTTCTGGCTAAAGGCTTTCTCACATCTACTGCAACCACAGGGTTTCTCCCCTGTGTGTGTTTGCTGCTTAATGAGGTCTGACTTCCGGGAAAAGGCTCTCCTGCAGTCACTGCAGTTATACTGTTTCTCTCCTGTTTGAGTTTTCCAATGTTTAGTAAGCCATGATTTGTGGATGGAAGGCTTTAAATGTTCATTATATTCATTGGATTTTTCTCCAGTATGAATTTTCTCATGCTTAGTATAAAGAAATGCTTTGTCAAATCCATTAAACTCTACTTCGTTTCTTACATAGCTGTTATTCTGAATAATGTACTCTACATTAGGTTTCAAATGTTTCTCAAGTATGTCAAATGTATGGGATCTTTGTGCTAAAGGGACATTGAAGTTTAAGCTTAGAGACAGTATTTTTCTAAATGCAGTGTTTTTGTGGTGATTCTCCATAGTTTCAAGATTGCCTTTGTTTTCTTGGTGCCAGTCTGTATGACAATCAACATGCCAGATGTCATCTAGAAAGAAAACCAGTGAGCCAGAATGACTATGTAATAGAAGGTGTGGAATCCCATAGCAAAGGCCAAGCAGAGAAGAGGAAATGAGACTGGGTATACAGTGAAAGTCTGACATTTGTAAGTAAAAGGAGGAAAAAAAATGGAATAAACTACAAAATGTGGAGACAAGGGACAATTTATGAATGCTAGGTATATTAGAAAAGAGAGCTATATAAATGTGTTAAGGGGATGAGGAGAAGGCAGGTAAACTGAGAATGCCAGGGAGAAAGATTAGGAGAACAAGTTCCAAGATGAACTAGAGTGGGATCTGGTCCGAATACATAACAGGAGGAAATGTTTTCTTTTATTTTTATTTTTTTGAAAACTTTTTAAAAATAGGTTCCACACCCAACATGGGGCTTGAAGTCACAGCTCTGAGATCAACAGTTACACACTACTAAATGAGCCAGTCAGGCACCCCCAGAAATGTATTCTTTTAAAAACCAAGCAAAACAATCCTAATATGGAGAGATTAAAAAGGGGAGTCAAGGGATGCCCGGATGGCTCAGTTGGTTAAGCGGCCAACTCTTAATCTCAGCTTGTCTTGATCGCAGGGTCATGAGTTCAAGCCCTACGTTGGGTTCCACCCTGGGTATGGAGTCTACTTAAAAAAAAAACAGTGGAGTCAACATTAATGTATGAGGGCACTTATGTCCTCTAAGTCACAGTCAGAGCTTAAAAACGTCAAGGTTTCTCCAAACAACAATAGGTGTCTCCCTGTTTCTGACCAAATAGGAATTTACTTCCATTTACACCACAGGGTTGGTTTTTCACTTACCTGGATGAATCTGACTCTGGATTTCTTCCTCTGTTATCCATGGTGTTCCATGTTCCAACTGGTAGAATGCATCTGCTTTGGTAACTTGATACCCTACTCAAGGAAAATTATAGCGGATCCATGGACCCAAATACTTGGTCTACAAGGCCTCTGAAAAATGGGGGAGGTTATATTTAAGGGCCTGAACAATTTGCATCTTAGCCAAATAAAGCCCTTTTATTTTGGGAGTGAAAGAAAAGCCTTCTGTTAAGAGGTGAGAATGTACCGAAATCTGTGATGTATAAAACTCAAGTGCAAAAAAGTAAGGTGCTTGTAAGGCTCCACACATTTAATCACTGAGAAAGGAAAGGCAATTTATTGCCTACATTACTCTGGGAAAGCTCTGCTTACCCACTGATACTAGGTTGCTATAATTTTCCAACATCACATCTTGATACAGGTTCTTCTGAACAGGGTCCAGTAGCTGCCACTCCTCCCATGTGAAAACCACAGCCACATCCTTGAATGACAGTAACCCCTGAAATAGAATGTTCCTACTCATTTCTAAAGGGATTATTGTTGGTTAATACTATGAAATATAATAATTTTTCCTATCATCAGTCATTTGCTTTCTATATAACTAGTTTTGCATTATAGTTTGTAGGAAAAACTAATTTTTATTTAAAATATCCTATTTTTGTGCTTCCAATCATTCATTGATGTACATGTTCACTCTTTCACAAAAGAGAAATAGAATAGAGCATCCTGAAATCCTTTAATCTAAGAACCATCTACAACCTATGTGAATGCACCTATATGTCAGGCACTACACTAGATACTCCTTTGTATATAAGACCCTCTCCTATCCTAAAAGAGCATACTAGTTTGCAGAGACAGGTATATAAGTGCACTAGAGTACAACACATTTATATAGGGCAAGAAAGAAATGTATACCATGTGGGCAACAAGGTGGAGGAAAAAACTTCTAAAAGGTTGAACTTCAGATAGGCAAGGAGAGAGGTGAATGGAATTCAAGAAAGAAATAATATGAATGACAGCACAATGAAAAACTATGAGTATTTAAAACACTGCAAATATATTTCTTCCTAAGTTGTGAAATCAAATGACTGAATTTAGAGCAGGGAGAGCATATTATAAGCACTCAAAAATTTTTCTCACATTATTTGTGTTACTTAAACATTAACAGTGATAGACTTCCAAGGTACTGGGTTAAGTGCATTTAGTAAGTTACAGAGGGGCACCTGGGTGGCTCAGTGGGTTAAACATCTGCCATCAGCTCAGGTCATGATCTCAGGGTCCTGGGATTGAGCTCTGCGTTGGGCTCCCTGCTCAGTGGGGAGCCTGCTTCTCTCTCTGCCCTCCTCCCCTGCTCATTCTCTCTGTCTCAAATAAAAAAATAAAATCTTAAAAGAAATAAGTTACAGAAAAGTATATAAACTATAACCTCAAATATGATGATGGGTATTAGGTTCTGTGTGGTAAAGTGTTGACTCAGCAGGCCTGGGCTGCCCAAGCCCTGCATACTCCAAAGAAAGGCCTGTCTTTGGGAGAACCAGTCTTTGACTTGCTCCTGGAAGATGATCTCTGAACCCCTATAATATCCAGCCCAACACAGGTGTTTTCACATTCTTGAGGCCTTGGGCTAGGCTCTATTTTGGGGAGCTGGAGACTGAGTAGCTGAACTTGGTCATGCATGCTGAATGCTTGTGTTGTCTGACTCCCACTAAAACCCTGGACACCAAGGTACATGTAAGCTTCCCTGGATGGTAACACTTCCCACTTGTTGTTACAGAGTGCTGCTGGGAGAATCAAGCCACTCCACTGGGTGAGGAAAACTAGAAGCCAGTACCTGGTCTCTCCTGGACTCTACTCTGTATCTTTGCCTTTGTTGATTTTAATCTGTATCTTTTCACTATAATAATGAATAACTACAATAGCTTTTGTTGAATCCTTTTGAGTTCTTTTAGAGAATCATAGAACCTGAGAGTGGGCCAAGGACCCCCAACTCAAATATATACAAATTCATAGTTACATATGTAAATGCTGACAGGGGAAGTCAAAAGAACACACATATAGTTTGAGGATGGTGAAAAAGAATTAATGGGGAACTAAAGTGTTTAGCTCTAAAAACCTCTCTACTATTTGAAACATTGGCATTGAGAATATTTTAAGTTTTACTAATATAACTGGAATTCTAAAATTTTTTTGAAATATTTTGATTTTTATGAATTAAAAAAAAACTTTTAAGATTTTGAGAAAAAAAAAAAAAGATTTTGACAGAGAGAGAGCTCGCATGCACAAGTAGGCAGAGAGCCTGACATGGGGCTCCATCCCAGGACCCTGGGATCATGACCTGAGCTGAAAGATGCTTAACTAGACTGAGCCATCCAGGGACCCTGGGACTTTTTTAAATAGAAGAAATGGATTATGAACTGAGTGAAGAATGAGAAGACATTATGAAGGAAATATTCTAAGACTTTGCTAATAGATGTAACTTGGAAGTGTTTGCTAATTAATATAAATTGGGATTTCTCAACCTCAACCCTACTGACATTTTGGGTCAGATAACTTTTTGTGGTAGAAGTCTGTACTGTGTTGTAGGATATTTAGCAGCATCCCTGGCCTCTATTTACTAGATCCCATTAACAGTTATGATAATTAAAAAATATCTCCAGACATTGTCAAATGTTCCCTGGGCAGAGAAAATAATCCTGATTTGAGAAGCACTGATTCAAAGAAATGACTGAATTTTGAGGACTGTTTGTGGAAGACCAAAAGATGGTCTTAGAATCTATCCATTTTCTCAATAATCTAGGTATTATCCCTGGATAAAGTCAGACCACCAGAAACCTATGGACTTGAGCTACATTGTTTTGAAACCTAAAGCACTCTGATCACTGATTTTGGCTTTGGTATAGCCCCACTAGCTTGTCTGAGGATGGCTGAGAAATAACCAAAAGGAACTTACCACTTTACTAGTGGTTTGCTATAGAAGAAACTGATCATTAAACAATCTAATGATCTATCAAAGACATTTCTTCCTACTTATGTGACAGGAACTATCTACTTTTCTAGAGGAGATTTCTCCTTAAGGCAAAGCAAATCAGTGATTTTTTATTGATGGTCATGTGGTAGATTATATTTCCCAATGATGACCACAATAGTATGTCCCATTCCAAAACCTTTTGCAATGTGACTTCGTTACTACCCAATCAAGCGGTAGAACCTGTTCCTCACTCCTTGAATCTAGTTTGTTTTAGGAACTTGCTTGCAACAAAGAGGATGCAGCAGAAGTGATGATGCCTAACTTCCGAAGCTAAGGCAGAAAAGGCCATGTAGTTTCAGTCTGGTTTTCTTAGAATCTAGCATCATGCTGTGAGAAGCCTAAGCCACAAACGGAGGCTATGCATAAACACTCCATTCAAGGGCCTCAGCTCAGCCTAGTGTTTGAGTTGCGTTATCCTGGAAAACAGACACAGGAATGAAGAGTCCTTCAGATGATTCCAGTCCCCAACCTTTGAGTCTTCCCAGCTAAGGTTCGAGACACGATAGTGTGGTGATAAACTGTGCAGTAAAGGATTAATACAGCAATCTGGGTTGTCCACACCCTGCACATGCCAAGGAAAGGTTTGATTTTTACCTCTTCATAGGAAGTAACCTCTAAGTCCTTGAAATATCTTTACCTGAGAGCCTTGGGCTATGCCAGATAATTCATGTTATTGGTGTGGTTTATGGTGGGGGGCTTGCCACATCATAGTAGCTTGACTTCTGAAAGGGCTGGAGACTAAAGGTAGCCATTTATGAAGTCAGCATTGCCTATGTGACCAACTCAAATAAAAACCCTGGAAACTAAGGCTTGAATTAGCCTCCCTGATTAGCAATACTCAATACATAGTGTTACAAGTGATTGCTGGGAAAATTCAACACTGTCAATATGACTCCACTAAAAGAAAACAAGCGGAAGCTTTTGCTTGGTATCTCCTGGATCCAGCCTTATGATCTTTCCCTGTGGCTGATTTTAATCTATATCCTTTTGCTGTAATAAACTATTATCATGAGCATAACAATGTTTCTGAGTACTCTGAGTTCTTCTAGCAAATCACTGAACCTGAGCATGGTCCTGGGAACCCATGAACATGTAAGACACCACTATAGGGCTCTGTCTTACTTCCTGACCCATTGAATCTATGAGAATGATAAAAATAAATGCATACCACCAGGTTACAGTGTGGCTTCTTATACAGCAATAGATAAGTGGGACAGGGAATACTAAAGACAAGTTTGTAGCTCAATTTTGTGAACTACTTAGAACTTGGGCTCTATAATTTATGTTCTAACTTAAAATCATTTGCATAAACAAAGGATTTACACATTCTCATTGTACAGGGTAGTCCTCATAAATAATGAATAAATGTATTCTTTTAATATGTGTATTGTCAAGCTTCCTTAAACCCACAGGAAAGCTTAATGGAAAATAAATATATAAATAAACTCACTTGGGACTTGGACATTTTCTGAAGCCCTTAAATATTGTCAGAAAGTTTAATATGTGCTCTGTTGTTGATTCTGGGCTCTTTTCTGAATTTCTAGTTCAAGCTCTCTGGTAAAAGATGCAGTGTTGATCTTCGTACCTTCACTTCTTTCCCTCATAGGAACTATTTTATCCCAGGAAGCCAGGACCTGGGGATTACAGAAATTGTAACTGTGAGTATAACAGATTTTTCTGAGTTGTTGGAGTCCCTATTTGTATGTGTATATATTTTTTAGATATACACAAATAGATATATATCTAAAATTTATGTTTTCTTTAGGTAGTAAGTTAATATGATAGTCTAAAGAAAAAAGTAATATGTAGTACCTGATGGCTTATTTTTCAATAAACACACAACTATTTTATAATAAAGAAACACAAACAATAAAGCTGTCATTAAATTATGTAATTTTACCAAAACTGTACTCAAAACTAAATGTGCATTTTGAGAAAGACCATTACAAAGAAATGGGGATTAGGGGGAAAAGATGCTTAACTGACTGAAATAGGGACTAGGGGAAAAAGATGCTTAACTGAGCCATCCAGGGACCCTGGGACTAGGGGAAAGTCCAAGAAGAAAGTTTTAAAAGCCTAAAAAAAATCCAGAGAAACAGGTATAAATACTGAAGTACTACTTGCTAATCTGTCTTGGGTATCTTCTGTGTGATCTTAAACTGTATGAAGAGTTAGCACTGTTTATCTTTTGTTATTTATTTAAACAAATGGGAAAAGAATCTCAGGTTGAGAAACTTGCTCAAATTCACATAAGAAAGTGGCAGAATAAAGGGCAGCTTGGGTGGCTCAGCAGTTTAGCACTGCCTTCAGCCCAGGGCCTAATCCTGGAGACCCAGGATGGAGTCCCACATCCGGCTCCCTGCATGGAGCCTGCTTCTCCCTCTGCCTGTGTCTCTGCCTCTCTCTCTCTCTATCATGAATAAATAAATAAAATCTTGAAAGAAAGAAAGAAAGAAAGAAAGAAAGAAAGAAAGAAAGAAAGAAAGAAAGAAGGAAGGAAAGAAAATGGCAGAATATGGATAAAAACCTTAGGTCTGCCCAAATTCAAAGTCCATATTCTTTTCTCTGCGTTAAACTTACCTGCAGATGTTCTGATTACCTGGAAAACCTACAAGAATCAATTAGTAGTTACATTAGTTAATAAGAGTTCAGTAAAGAAAGAAAAGAGAAGGTGGTTTATTTTTTTTTTAATTGGCTCTTTTATATCTACCAGAAAATAAATAAAATAACCATTGGAGACCATCAAAGACAAGAAACAAAGCTGCCCCAAGCACTGATCTCCCTACAAGTCATCCCATTCACTGACCACGCCCAAAGACCACTCAATCACTGACCCCTCCCCCAAGTACATCCCAAACACTGACCTACACCAAGAACATCAAAAGCACTAAACTATCTACCAAAGATGTCTCAATCACTGAACCACCACCACTCCCAGACCCAGGAATATTCCCATCGTGGACACTGACATTAGTAAACCCTCTCAAGGACGTCCTGATCACTGACATGTTCCAAGGATTCTTCAGTCACTGGCCTTGTTCCAAGGATGCTCTAATTGCTGACATGGCCCTCACGGCTGTCCTAAGAACTAATCTTTCCCATGAGACCTTTTCAGGCATTGACACACCTTCAAAGACACCCTTATTCCTGACTTCCTTTATGAACACCCCAAACACTGACCTCCCATCATTGATCCTCAATTAGTGACTTTACCTGAAAGACGCCCCAACCACTGGCTATCCCAAGTGCATCCAAATCATTGACCCACTGACTAGGTAACACCAATCACTGACTTGCCTCCAAGACGGCCCCAGTCACCGATCCCCACAAAGTAATACCCCAAGTCCTAACACCTTTCTCCAGGCCACTCCAATCCCTGACCATCCCCAGGCCTGCACCATTGCCGACTACCCCAATCCCTCAATCATGCAATGCGTCGTCCCCCACCACACAACGGCTTGCTTCTCTCACGGACAACCCAAAGCCTCCCTTACAAAAACCCCAAATCTCCACAAACCTAGTTAAACCTTATTCCGCTCCCAGAATGCAAAACTGAGACCCTGTAATACAACCTTCGCGCACCAGTTGGGTGGGTAGAAAGAGCCACGGTCCATCACTTGGGCTTCAGACTCACAAACGCTGTTCCACCTCACGAGATCAGGTTTAACGTGTGTGGCATCCGAGTCAACAGGCAGCCAACCATCACCCCGGGGGCGTCCTTCCACAGACTAGGATTCCGTTCAGCTCTCGGTATTTTAGACAAAGGCACTATGAGAGAGTATGGCAGTGCCCTGTTGGCAGACTTACGTGGGAGCCGCCATATTGGAAGTCCGGTACAACTCCTTTTCCGCGGAAGAGAACATTCCTTACGTCAGTTGTGAGCGACACAAAGGGCGATGCGCAGGCTCTTGTCTGCGTGGGCCAAGCCCAAAGGCAGCCGCCACCGCTTTGCTGATGATGGTACGTGCCAAGCAGTGAAAGTTTACTGTGGGCGCGGCCATCATGAAAAATGCACAGGGCTGGCCGTAGAGGAGAGGGAGTCCTTTAAGGAGTGGAAAACACTGGAATTTATATAAAACGGTATAGGTTTCGAAAAGCCAAACTAGTACGACAAAGGCAGTAGGCCTCACTGTGGGCGTGGAGTACACTAATTTATTTTAAGGAAAAGATTTCCTGCCAGGATTGGTGGTGGTGGTTAGGCGACATCTCCAAGGTGAAGGGTGAGAGGGCTAGTGGGTAAGTAGAGCTAGTAGTGAGGGAGGGGCTATGCTCTTCTCTTCATCAAGGTAGGGGCTGGAGACGGGCGGAGGGGGAGGAGAAGACTAGAAATTGTTGGTAGAAATTTCTTAACAGATTTTATCTCAACTCAAATGTTTTCACATTTTATTTATTTTTTAAATTATTCATGAGAGACACAGAGAGAGGCAGAGACATAGAGGGAGAAGCAGGCTCCTCGCAGGGAGCCGGATGTGGGACTCGATCCCGAAGTCCGGGATCACACCCTGAGCCAAAGGCAGACGCTCAACCACTGAGCCACCCAGGCGTCCCCTCACATTTTATTTCTAGTGAAGTAATTATTAGAATTAGAATTGAGTCAAAGAGAATGAAATATTTTCTTTTTAGTATATGTGCTGCCGAAGCGAGCACGAAAATGAAAATTTTTAATTGGGTAGATAATTCCAGATTGTTGTCTCAAACTGGTTTTACTGATGATACATTTTACTGGCTACTATCCTTCTTAAGGAACTGGATACTTCGGGGACGCCTGGGTGGCTCAGGGGTTGAGTGTCTGCCTTTGGTTCAGGGCATGATCCCGGGGTCCTGGGATCGAGTCCCACATTGGGCTAACTGCATGGAGCCTGCTTCTCCCTCTGCCTGTGTCTCTGCCTCTCCCGTGAATAAATAAACGAAATCTTAAAAATGAAAACAAACAAACAACTAGATACTTAGGGGGCCTGGGTCATGATGCCAGAGTCCTGAGATCGCGCCCCAAGTAAGGTCCACTGCTCAGGGGAGAGCCTCCTTTTCCCTCTTCCTCTGTTTTCCCCCACCCCCACTTGTGTGCACCTGCGTGCTCTCTCTCTCTCTCTCTCTTTAAGACCTTTATTTATTTATTCATGAGAGAGAGAGAGAGAGAGAGAGGCAGAGACACAGGCAGAGGGAGAAGCAGGCTCCATGCAGGGATGGATCCCGCGTCTCCAGGATCACACCCTGGACTGAAGGCGGCGCTAAACCGCTGAGCCACCCGGGCTGCCCAACAAAATCTTTTTTTTTTTTTTTTTTTTAACAAAATCTTTTTTAAAAAAAGGAACTTGAGGGATCCTTGGGTGGCGCAGCAGTTTGGCGCCTGCCTTTGGCCCAGGGCGCGATCCTGGAGACCCGAGATCGAGTCCCATGTCGGGCTCCTGGTGCGTGGAGCCTGCTTCTCCCTCTGCCTCTCTCTCTCTCTGTGATGACTATCATAAATAAAAAAGGAACTTGATACTAGAACTAATAACTATATTAAGTATATACACATTTTTTTTTAACAAGGAACTATTTCAGGCGTAGTAATTACATTATCTTGCTTAGTACTCTGAAAGCTGATGTGGAAATGTTGGGGTTTGGAGCAAACAGCTAAGAAAGAATTCTTGAACTGTCTTTGGTGTAAATAGATGGTTTTATTAAAGCATGGGGACAGGACCCGTGTGCAGAAAGAGCTGCAGAAGAATTGTGAGGAGCAATTGGTTATATATTTTGAATTTGGAAGGGATAGCTTAAGTCTGTAAGGAATTTTGAAAGCAACATTTCCAGGACTTTGAGGGAGCTAGCTATTGTTAGGAAAAGGTCATTTATTACTGTCTAATAAAACCATAGTCATGATGATGTGGGAAACAAAGGCAGAAGAGAAATTATTAAATTTCCTTACTACTTGCAGCCCATTGACAAGTCGTTGATGTGGGCAGAGTGACATTCCTCTAGGGATTCAACTGCCTGGATGTTATACTTTGCTAAGGGCAAAAGACAACCCTAGTCCAACCCCCTGGCTTCTGTAAGTCTACTTTAACATAAAAATTCCTTTTGGGGACACCTGGGTGGCTCAGCGGTTGAGCGTCTGCCATTAGCTCAGGGCATGAGCCCAGGGTCTGGGGATCGAGTCTCATAGCAGACTCACTGCAAGAAGCCTGCTTCTCCCTCTGCCTATGTCTCTGCCTCTCTCTGTGTGTCTCTTGTGAATAAATAAATAAAAATCTTAGAGAAAAGTTCCTTTGGAAACTTTCTTTATCCCTGTCCTCCTCACCAAGATACATGCTGGCAATTGTTCCCCAAGTATATGATCCACTGATATACATCTGACAGGCTTCATTGAGTAAGGGACAGGCAGGACTCGATAGGGAGAGATAGGTAGGGGGCCATATCATCAGGCTCACAGAAATCCCAGAAATGCTGAGGTGTAATGAAACCAGAGATAAGGGAACAAACCAGGCCATCCTGCCCTGGACATCAGAGGTAGGTCTTTTTATGATAGTCACACTGTAACCAACAAAGAATAATCAGATCACAAAGAAGAAGGCCACAAGCTCCAACCAAAAAGGCCTAATTAAACTGGTCAGTTCTAAATAAAAGACTGCTGTGGGAGGTCCATGTTGGCAACCCTATCGGGACCCCTCTCACTCCTGAGAGTTTTTTCTATATCCTTGATTAATAAAATTCTATCACTTTACTCACTTTCTTTTGTCCACGAGATTCATTTTTTTTAAAGATTTTATTTATTTATTCATAGGCACAGAGAGAGAGAGGGGCAGAGACACAGACGGAGGGAGAAGCAGGCTCCATGCAGGAAGCCCAATGTGGGACTCGATCCTGGGTCTCCAGGATCACACCCCAGGCTGCCGGCGGCGCCAAACCGCTGCGCCACCGGGGCTGCTCAAGATTCATTTTTTGACCCTGTGAGACAGAACCTCACTTACTCGCTTCATTGAGACCCGTCAGATGTAGATCAGCAGGCCATATGCTCAACAAATGATTACTAACATATATCTTGGGAGGATAGAGATAAAGGAAGTTTCCAAGGGAATTTTTATAAGTTAAAGGAGACTTACAAGATCCTTGAGGTGGGGCTAATATTAAGGTAAGATTACCTTTTGCCCTTAGCAAAGTATTAACATTGACACAGTTGAGTTCTTAGAAGGTCATTCTGCCTGTCTCAAGGGCTTATCAATGGATGTAAATTGTAAGGAAATGTATTTTTCTTTTTCCTTTGTTCCCCACATCAAAAGCTATCAATGGTGAACTTAAATATTACCTTCACTTCATATATGGAGGAAAAAAAGGCCAAGTCTATCAGAATGTCTATTTTATCAATATTTCATTAATCATTTAATCTTTGCCTATCTTTTTAAAAAATTTTTTTTTATTTATTTATGATAGTCACACACAGAGAGAGAGAGAGAGAGGCAGAGACATAGGCAGAGGGAGAAACAGGCTCCACGCACCGGGAGCCGGATGTGGGATTTGATCCTGGGTCTCCAGGATCACGCCCTGGGCCAAAGGCAAGTGCCAAACTGCTGCGCCACCCAGGGATCCCCAATCTTTGCCTATCTTAACAGTGAATAAAAATCTTTTTCAGGGGCACCTGGGTGGCACAGTTGGTTGGGTGTCCAACTCTTGGTTTTGGCTCAGGTCATGATCTCAGGGTTGTTAGACTGAGCCCTGTGGTCAGGCTCCATGCTTAGCCTGGAGTCAACTTGAGACATTCTCTCCTTCTCCTGCTGCTCCTCTCCCCTCAAATAAATAAACCTTAAAAAAAAAGTCTTATTTTAGTTTTTTATAAGTTGCTGTTTACTTCCATCCCCCCATTTTAAGTTGGTTATCTTTGTCTTAATCATATTGAGTATTTATAACTATTATTCTACCCCCCCCCCCGCCCCAATTCTTGTATGTTGACATACACCCTGGTTTTGGGCTATTATGAATAAAAGGTGCTATGAACATTCTTGTAAGCCTTCCTGAGGACATATCATTTCAGTTTTTTTTTTAAGATTTTATTTATTTATTCATGAGAGACACACACACACACAGAGAGAGAGAGAGAGAGAGAGAGGCAGAGACACAGTGTGGCAGAGGGAGAAGTAGGCTCCATGCAGGGAGCCCGAAGTGGGACTTGATCCCAGGTCTCCAAGATCACACCCTGGACTGAAGGCGGCGCTAAACCGCCAAGCCACAGAGTCTGCCTTCATTTCAGTGTTTTTAAATAAATATGTAGGAGATGAACTGCTGCCTAATATAGTTGTTTTTATTTATTTATTCAAGTTATCTCTATACCCAACATGAGGATTTAACTCACAACCTGGAGATCCAGTCTCATGCTCTTCTGACTGAGCCAGCCAGATGCCCCATGGTTCTGTTTTATTTTGCAATTCTCTTAAGCTTAGAAGTTAGTTTTGAAAGGATTTTTACTCTTTAAAGATTTTGATAGTTTAAGGAATATGGATATATTAATACAGTGGATTTTTAAGTTGGGTGCTTTATCCATAGATTTATCTTGAAGGTAACTTCAAAACTGTCCTACAAATACAATTCTCTGCACATAAGCATTTCTGTTTCCTCATTCTTCCAGTTAATTCTGGTTGGATTAGATTTGATGTTTACATTATGATGACTATGTAAATACTATTTACAGCTCAGCCACATAGTATACTATGATTATATTTCCTTTCTTGTACAATTTTTTATTCTTCCTGGAGTTGTCTTATTTATTCCTTCCAGAAATTCTGGCCTTTGGTTCTTAGAAAGCCCTGCCCTTCGCACTGGCTCCACATGACTTGCGACCTGGACATTGGCTTGGGACTGTTCTCACCTTTTCTGGGCGGTAACTGTATCTCCCCACCACCTCTCCCAAAGGGAAGCTTGGTTTCTTCCAGTCACTGTTTTTCACTTCCTTGTGATTAAATTTTGGAATATAGGTTAGGTCCAGAGCCGATGACCAAGAAATAATTTTTGAGACGTCTTTGGTGCAAAATGGTGGTTTTATTAAAGCCTGGGGACAGGACTCATGGGCAGGAAAAGCTGCTGCCCCGGGCCTGTGAAGGGTAGCTCCCAACCTGGGAGTTAGGAGGGGTTTGAAGATAGCCTACTCTCTAAGGAATTTTGGAAGCAAGGTTTCCAGAACCTTGAGGGGGCTAGTTAGTGTTGGGAAATGTCACTTTTTTTCTTTTTTTTAAATTCATGAGAGACACAGAGAGAGAAAGAGACAGAGACACAGGCAGAGGGAGAAGCACACTCCCTGCAAGGAGCCTGATGTGGGACTTATCCCGGATCCTGGGATCACACCCCAAGCCTAAGGCAGACACTCAACTGCTAAGCCATCCAGGCGTCCCATGGGAAAATGTCACTTACTACTGTCTAATAAAACCTGAGTCATGAGACCCTTCAGATGTACACTGGTGGGCCATGTCCTTGGAGGATGATTGGCAACACGTATCTTGGGGGTTTAGAGATAAAGGGAAATTTCTAAAGGACCTTTTATATGTTTAGACTTACAAGATCCTGGGTGTCGGGCTAAGATTGCCTTTTGTCCTTAGCAAAGTATGAACATCGGGGCAGTTGAGTCCATAGAGGAATGTCCCTTTGCCTGTTTCAAGGACTTGTCAATGTGCTGTCCCGGGCTCATGCCTTGTCCTCAGCTAGCCCTGTGTTCCCCCATCACTTGGATGGCATTATCACTCTCCCTATACCGTTACTGCTTCTCCAGATACTTTTTTGTCCTCAAAATCTTCCTCTTGGCCTCCATATCCGTCAGAAGCATTCCTAGGGTATTTGCCCTTTGGCTTTTATGTTTGCCCTTTTTCCCGTTAAAAAACTTTATTTTGTATGGACACTTAACTTCTAAGATGGCTGCACCTCGTGTGTTTTCCAAATCTTTCTTCGTGTAAAGTGGATTTCCTCGCCAGCCCGCTGAGGTAGACGTATCCTACTCCATGTTTGCCTTGTGTAAGTAGGTTCAAACTTTTGAAAATCAGTTCAGTTTGTAGCGCAGGATTTAAGGTGTGAGAAATGGGAGTGTTTTCGGTAGGTTTTCATTGTTTCGAGCCTTACCTGGCTACTCTGACCAAAACGACCACTTCGCCTACCGTAGGTCGATTACGGAAGGGCAGCCGCCTGGCAGACCCGCTGGCCAAATGGGCGCGGACATATTGACTCCAGGAAAAGCCGGAAGTCCAAATGACTGTTCTCGGTAGAAACGCCTCTGGCCCTCGTCGGCCGCCATCCTCGGGCGCGGAGGCTGGCCATGGGCGCAGCCGGAGAATTTGCGGAAGTGCGGCTTGTAGGAGGTCGTGGTGGGGTCACTAGAAAATCAGGTCTGTGTATGGTTCGGTATCTGGAATAAGAGGAGAGGACCGAGGCGTCTGTGGGTGCCCGCGTGGGTGGAGCCTTGGGGTCTGTGGGGGAGAGGAAGCAGGTGGAAGCCGGTGCCGGTCTCTGTGTGTGCTATGCCTTTCGAGCGTGGGGGCAGTGGTTACCGAGATGTAGAGACCAACGTTTCCGAGACCGCGGTCAGGCTTTGGGTTCTGTCTGTAGCGCCCAGTGATTGAGCTCTAGGGAGGGGGGTGGTTTTTGTCAGTGAAAGCGGTGTCCACTTCGGATTCGGGTTTTACTCTTGCGGCTCAATGAGGGGCAGAGGCGCACGGTCAGCGAACCCTGGTGTTTCGGGATTATTCCGGGGAGGGAGAGTAGGGCGATGATGAGCGCAAGGGAGAGGTCCAGGTGTGTCAGCCCCTTGAGAGGTTTGTGAGAGCTGAAGCACACTTGGTGGGGTGGGTTGAGGGTCCAACGTTTCTTTCCCTCCAATCCAAGCCCCTGGTTTGCCTTTGTCTTTGCACATCTCTTGACCCCATAGTTATGATGGAGGATTTCACACAAAGTGGTTTCAATTAAAGAGGATTTTGCCCTTTCTGCAAGTTTACTTTAAGTACGCATACGTACACACAGCTGGAAATGTTTCTTTTGGGTGCCATTGTAACACAGTAAACTAACATTGCTGTTACTCCAATTCTGTTCCCCAACGGTAACATTTGTTACCTTTTTTTCATTTCCCCTTTAGTCTTCGGTTTTCTATGCTTCACAATTCCAATATTCTATTGAAACACTGGCATAATTTGACTCTATTTAATTTCATGTTATAAATACTATATAATAAACGTACGTTTTTTCTTTAAAATTTTTTTTAAACTTATGTAACTATATATTGTCAAGAGGCAAATCTGTACCATTATGCATGCAATCTCAGCATTCATTTATTTTTTTTAATTTTCTCTCTCTCTCTTTTTTCAAAGATTTTATTTATTTAATCATGAGACATACAGAGAGAGAGAGGCAGAGACACAGGCACAGAGAGAGAAGCAGGCTGCATGCAGGAAACCTGACGTGGGACTCCATCCCAGGTCTCCAGGATCACGCCCTGGGCAGAAGGCAGGCACCAAACCGCTGAGCCACCCAGGCATCCCTCAGCATTCATTTAGATGGAATTTGAACAGGCTTGTGTCTGAGTAATCTCTACACCTAACAAGGGGCTCAAATTCACAACCATGAGACAAGAGTTGCATGCTTCACCGACTAAGTCAGCCAGGTATCCCTAAATAGAATATAAATACTCAATCACTTTTGAAAACAGGTTTTTATTCTCCATTTACCCATGCATGTGGTTTCCAGTCACTCCTGTCCACCTTGATCTTAATTTTTTTGCTAGTGTGAATGGTGTTTTTAAACATTTTATTCTCTTCTTTCAATTTACTATCACAAAAAAGAAAAATTACATTAAAAATCTGCTCCTTCACTGAATCATTAATATTAAGAGGTTCCCATTCCCTGTAATTTTTTTATTGTTTAAAGAATTTTAGGGCAGCCCCGGTGGCTCAGCGGTTTAGCGCCGCCTTCGGGCCAGGGTGGGATCCTAGACCCAGGATTGAGTCCCATGTCAGGCTCCCTGCATGGAGCCTGCTTCTCCCTCTGCTTATGTCTCTGCCTCTCTCTCTCTCCCTCTCTCTCTCCCTCTCTCTCATGAATAAATAAAATCTTTAAAAAAATTAAAAAAATAATTTTACATTTGAACACCTATTATGCCTACCACCTAGATCTTTGTCATCATGATTTTGTTTCCTTTTTTTTTTTTTTAATTTTTATTTATTTATGGTAGTCACACGCAGAGAGAGAGAGAGAGAGAGGCAGAGACATAGGCAGAGGGAGAAGCAGGCTCCATGCACCGGGAGCCCGACGTGGGATTCGATCCCGGGTCTCCAGGATCGCGCCCTGGGCCAAAGGCAGGCGCCAAACCACTGCGCCACCCAGGGATCCCGATTTTGTTTCCTTTATTCCATATCCATATATCACTTCTCAGTCATTAATATACCCTTTTACATTAAATTTTTTTAAAGATTTTATTTATTTATTTATTTATTTATTTATTTATTTATTTATTTATTTATTTATTTATTTGAGAGAGATAGCACAAGCAGGGAAGAGAGAGAAAAGCAGACTCCCAGATGAGCAGGGAGCCCAATGTGGGACTTGATCTCAGGACCTGGGATCATGACCTGAGCTGGAAGCAGGTGTTTAATGGACTGAGCCACCCAGATGCCCCTCTTTTACATTTTTTAATGTTTATTTATTTATTTAAGTAATCTCTGCACCCAACATTGGGGGCTTTAACTCATGACCCCAAGATCAAGAGTTCTAAGTTCTTCCAACTGAGCCAGGTACCCTGGTTTGTCTCTCCTTTTTTTTTTTTACTTTGTTCATTTATTTCTTAAATTCCACATATGAATGAAATCATATAGTATTTGTCTTTCTTTGGTGGCTTATTTCACTTAGCATTATACTCTGTGGATCCATCCATATTGTTGCAAACAGGAAGGTTACATTATTTTTTATGGTTGAATAATATTCCATTATATATATGATATATATGGCATATATTATATGGCATATAATATTAAGTATATTTTATATATTATATAAAGTTATATATCATAAAGTTATTTTAAATACAATATTATATATGTGTATATACACTACATGTTCTTTCTGTTCATCTATCAATGGACATTTAGTTTGCTTCCATAATTTGGCTATTGTAAATAATGCTGCAGTAAACAGGGGTGCATATATCCCTTTGAATTAGTGTTTTCATATTCCTTCATATTCTTTGGGTAAATATCCAGTAGTGCAATTACTGGATCATAATGTCATTCTATTTTTAATTTTTTAAGGAATCTCCATAATATCTTCCATAATATCTACCAGTTTGCATTCCCACCAACAGTGCGTGAGGGTTCCTGTTTTTCCACATCCTTGCCAATATTTGTTTCTTGTGTTTTTGATTTTATTATCCTGAGAGATGTGAGGTGATATCTTACCGGGTTTTCTGTGTACAAACTTTTGTGTAGATATCCTTTTACTTCTGGATATAAATCCTATGTGAAATTGTAGGTTCACATGGTAAAATATATTTAACTGTTAGAGGTACTACCAGACTATTTTCCAAAGTGGCTGCACCATTTTACATTTCCATTAGCAGTTCTGAGGGTTCTATTTCCTCCACATACTCCCCAACACTTGTTATTTCCTTTTTTAAAAAAACTATATCCATCCTAGTGAGTGTGAGCAGTATCTCAGTTGTGGTTTTGTTTTGTTTATTAAAGATTTTATTTATTTATTCATGGGAGACACAGAGAGAGACAGAGGCAGAGGCACAGGCAGAGGGAGAAGCAGGCTCCAGGCAGGGAGCCTGACGTGGGACTGGATCCCGGGTCTCTAGGATCAAGCCCTGGGCTGAAGGTGGCGCTAAACCGCTGAGCCACCCGGGCTGCCCTCAGTTGTGGTTTTGATTTGCATTTCTCTGAAGAATGATGTTGAGCATCTTTTCACGTTCTTATACTATGCATAACTTGAATACATATTTTCACTGAATATAGATTATTAACATTTCTTTACCTTCATTGGCTGTGTGTACTTTTATTCATTCAATTAATTATCTAGTAGCAGACCTAAATAATCCCTGTATATCAACTTTGCATGCTTATGCCATTGTTTCCTTTGTAAAGATTCCTAGGAGTGGATTTCTTGGATTCTAGCTAAATCTCTATTGAAAGTATTCAATACTAAATGTTAAACTATTCCCCTGCATTGAATAAGCAGTCACTCCCCACTACCACCTCCCCAAGGGGGTAGAGACAACTATCCTGACAAGACGCTGACAACTACCAATCTGCTTTCAGTTTCTGTGGATTTAGCCATTCTGGATATTTCATATAAGTGAAGTCATACAATATATGACCTTTTGTGTCTGGCTTCTTTTACTTAGTGTAATGTTTCATGGTTGTGTACTGTGCTCTAGGGTGTTCCTTCTGTGCTTATCCAGGCCATTTCATTTATAACCCTGCCTTAATCTTCATTACCTGCTTGCACTGAGTGTAGAATTCAGCCAGAGGGAAAAGTTGGGGTCTTCTCAGGTCTCTTCCAAGCAGGTGTCCTGCCCTGTGCATGTACTTGGCTTTATTAATTCCCCAGTATGCCCTACTGCTTTTGAATGACTTAAGTTCCCGAAGAAACTCTCTCCTCAGCTTTTTCTCCCAGCCTTTCAACTGTGCCTCAACTATAATCTTTTTTTTTTTTTTTTTAGTTTTTATTTATTTATTCATGAGAAACAGAGAAGCAGAAACATAGGCAGAGGGAGAAGCAGGCTCCCAGGAGCCTGATGCAAGACTCGATCCCAGGACCCTGGGATCATGACCTGAGTCAAAGGCAGATGCTCAGTCACTGAGCCACCCAGGTGCCCTTCAACCATAATCTTTTGTCCCAGGCATCTATAGGTTGTTTGTCTACATTGTTGTTGTTTTTAAGATTTTATGTATTTATTTATTTATAGAGTACACACTAGTGGAGGGAGGAGCAGAGAGAGAGGGAGAGAATTTCAAGCAGATTGCTTGCTGAGTGCAGAGCCCAATTTGGCGCACAAATCCCACAACCCTGAGATCATGGCCTGAGCCAAAATCAAGAGTTGGTCACTTAATCGCCTGAACCACCCAGTCGCCCCACCTTGCATTGTTTTGTTTTGTTTTTTTTTTTAAAGATTTTTTAAATTTATTCATGAGACACACACACACAGAGAGAGAGAGAGGCAGGCAGAGACACAGGCAGAGGGAGAAGCAGGCTCCACACAGGGAGCCCGACGTGAGAGTCAATCCCGGGACTCGATTCCGGAACTCGATCCCAGGTCTCGATCCCAGGTCTCCAGGATCATGCCCTGGCTGAAGGCAGGTGCTAAACCGCTGAGCCACCCAGGGATCCCCAAGATTTTTAAATTTTTTATTTACTCATGAGAGACACAGAGAGAGAGGCAGAGGGAGATGCAGGATCCTGGCAGGGAGCCCGATCCTGGACTCAGTCGCTGGCCTGGGGATCATGTCCCGAGCTGAAGGCAGACACTCAACCGTTGAGCTACCCAGGCATCCCCCACCTTACATTATTTTTGAGAAACACCCATTGCTTTTCTATCCTGTGCGAGGTCCAAATTAGAGTGATGAGCATGTTGCGTTAGTCCTTCAGGTAGGCCTCAGACCGATTGGAACAGATAAACACGATTCTTTGCATTTAAATAAAGTCTGCTCTACTCATTCCAGGACCAGGAACCAGAGTTCCCCACTGGGAATCCTGGATCCTATCTCTAGCACTACTACCAGGCTGGGGAGAGGGTGGAACAAGGGCAAATAAAAATGGTACAGAACTTTCCTACCATTTTTTTTTAAAGATTTTATTTATTTATTCATGAGAGACACAGAGAGGCAGAGACACAGGTAGAGGGAGAAGCAGGCTCCATGCAGGGAGCCCGGCATGGGGCTTGATCCCAGAACTCCAGGATCACACCCTGAGCCAAAGGATGCTCAACCACTGAGCAACCCAGGTGCCCAAGTTACCTCTTTCTTGATTGAACCATCACTCTGCTACTTAAACCTGTGACTATTTTTCAGAGTTATGATAAAGGGTTTGTTTTGTTCTTTATTCTGACAGTTCTTACTTGCTTTGGTGTTTCTGTGGAGGTATGAACCCTTGGAACTTCCCACTCTGCCATTTTCATCCAGTGGGAGTTCCTCCCATAATGTGCATGATTGATTTTGTTTTGTTTTTTAGTCATGGGTACTTTTTTGAAGAAATGAACTGCATATGCAACTTAAGTGATAGCCTCTAATTCACCTCCCTTCCCTCCCCAGACATAATGGCTTTCTTGAACTTGTTCTATATAACGCATGTTTTTATACTTTCTTTTTTTTAAGATTTTATTTATTTATTCATGAGAGAGAGAGAGAGAGAGAGAGAGGCAGAGACACAGGCAGAGGGAGAAGCGGGCTCCATACAGAGAGCCCAATGTGGGACTCGATCCTGGGACTCCAGGATCATGCCCTGGGCCGAAGGCAGGCGCTAAACCGCTGAGCCACCCAGGGATCCCTGTTTTTATACTTTCACTCAATGAGTATATAGCAGGAAAGAATAATCTTGTTGTATATGCTTTAATTTTTTTCTATCAGTTTGCCTTTGTTTCTTTCACATGACTTAGTGAAAATGGTTTGTTAGATGATACTTTGCTGAGCACCTTTGTCTTCAAACTGAGGTATGTACAAAAACTTTCATACATTAGCACATTTGGTTTTTTTTTTTAATTTTTATTTATTTATGATAGTCACAGAGAGAGAGAGAGAGAGAGAGAGAGAGAGAGAGAGAGAGGCAGAGACACAGGCAGAGGGAGAAGCAGGCTCCATGCACCGGGAGCCTGACATGGGATTCGATCCCGGGTCTTCAGAATCGCGCCCTGGGTCAAAGTCAGGCGCCAAACCGCTGTGCCACCCAGGGATCCCACATTTGGTCTTAAAGGAATAGATATCCAAATCCTCGCCTTTTACAAATTCTCTTTCCAAAACTGACCTGTTTGAGAAGCCCCTCAACCGTGGGGCACTATGCTCTGCTGATTCTCCTTTGCTGGCTTCCTTTCAGGGACTCCACTTCTACTTCATGGAAGAAAGTGCTCACATACTCACAATCTGGTGTTCCATTGCTCCAGAGTACAGTAGCCTCCAGGGTTCCAAATAAAAGGACAATACCAGAGAGCCAGGATATTTGGAGGTGACGATATGAAGAAAGACTCAGAATCTCACTGAATTTTAATCTGGGGGACAGGAGGACTGAGAACACCTGGACTTGGACCCCAAGGCTTTGTCTCCTCCAGCTTTTATTAAGAAAGCTAGCAAATAACAATCATCATGAATCTACTTGTTAGCTATAGGAATGATTAACTTTGGGAAATAGAAACAGAAAAACATGTTTACTTCAAAGGGTAAAAGAATTGTCCTGCACAATACTTTGCAATTATGCTATATGCCGTGTAAGGAGGCTATTAACTCAGGGAGGCGGAGCGGAAGAGCTATATCTGGAGAACAGTGTGGTCAAGTCAGTGTGCTGACTCAGGACCTCACGTATCCCCAGTGTGCTGGGGGTAATGAGATTCAGTTCTCAGATAAGCTCCGCAGCTGGTTGCCCACAGGACAGGTGGCCTTGAAATCAGGTTGGGCAGTAGCAGTGATGACATCTGGGTCCAGAGAAAATGTGCACTCAAAGCTAATTTACTTTTCAGCCCACAGGTCCTACTCTAGGAGCAAGATCCAACAAGTAAAGCAAGGAAGAGGTCTCAGGACCTGTATATGGTCATTTGTGGGGGCACCATTGACCAGAAACGAAGATTTCAGGAATTTAGGGGAATTCAAGAAGAAACTAAAGGCACAAGTCCCCATATTGGCTATTGTCCAATAACAGAAGAAAATGAAGGACCAGGTGACTTTGTTTTATTCTTTTTTTCATTCTGTGATTGTTTTCTGGAGGAATTGAAAACTCAATTGAATTAAATGGAAAAGTATAAATTGGTAAAGTTGACCTTGTGTAGAAATGGATTTAGATTCTAACTTCAATATTTAGGCAGATAGGATCAGGAATATATTGTTCGTAGGATCCCCACTAAATGACTAATTTTAGAACATCATGTGTGACTGGAGCATCCTATGGGCTATGCTAGCTGTCAGTTTATGTCTGATAACTCTAACGGCCATCATAACCATAGAATCACAATGATCACGGGATTATGCAGTAATGGAGGAGAAAGCAGCCTGGTTCTGCAAGGATGTCACTATATATTTTATGGCACTTAGACGTCAGGACTTTTGTTTAATGGTGCCTCTTAGACGTGAGATGGTAGTGCCCTTAACTTCAGCTTTCTCCTAAATGCAAAAGAAGGTTTCTTAAAGACCTCTTTGAGAATATACCAGGAGAATTCAGTGGGCACAGTTCTTCCTGGGATCATAACAAGGTGACTGTCAGGGTTATTCTAGATCATAATAAGGTTATCTAGATCATAACAAGGGGCTGTCAGGGTTATTCTAGAAATAAAATCCAGGTGACCTAAGAAAATGGAAGGGTTTCTTGACTTTCAAAGCTCTTATATGAACAGGTGGCTAAATTGATGTTTGTGTTCAGATATGGCAGTAGGGAGTTGAAGGTACTGTTGTCTGGCACAGTTGTTGGGATCCAAAGGGCTTGCCTTCAAGCTTCCCCTTATGTACGATAGTACATGCTCGCTCTTGTTCAAAGCCAATTCCTACTGCCTCCTCTTTTATTACCTTTTAAAATTTACTTCTATGAAAGTGCCTGGATATATTTTAAAGGTAAAAAAATTCCAATGATTATAAAGTTCTATAGCAAAAGTAAGACTCTTCATCATGTATACACAGAGCAGATGTTTCAAATACATATATTGTAAATGTTTTTAGTTTAGCAGAATTTAATGGCTACTTATTACCACAACTTATTTGTTGAATGATGCTTGACTGAATGATTAAAAAATATTTTGTTATATATATAAGTTCGAACATGGATGTATTTTTTGTATTTTTCTTCTATACCAATGTAGTTTATTTAAAAACATTTTTTTAAAGATTTTATTTATTTGAGAGACAGGGACAGATCATGAGCAAGGGGTGGAGGCAGAAGGAGAGGGAGAAGCACACTCCCTGCTAAGCAGGGAACCCGACATGGGCTCAGTCCCAAGACCTGAGCTGAAGGCAGACACTTAATTGACTGAGCCACTCAGGCACCCCTATAACAGTGTAGTTTACAAAAAAACCCAAAACATTTGGGGCACCTGCATGGCCCAGTGGGTTAAGCAGCTGACTCTTGATTTCAGCTCAAGTCATGATTTCAGGGTCGTGGGATGGAGCCCTGTGTTGGGTACTGAGCTTAGCAGGGAGTCTGCTTGAGATTCTCTGTCTCCCTCTGCACTTCCTTCCCTGCTTGCATGCTCTTTCTCTCTCTAAAATAAATGGATAAATCTTAAAAAAAAAAAAAATCTGAACACCTAAGTGTATAGATGCAGGCTATGTGGTGAACATGAACAGAGCAACTTCCTTCATATTCCTTTCATTTCAATAACAGAGAAGCACTCATATTAAACAGGACTATGTTGTTATAGGAATTGCTGACACTGGAGGATGTGGCTGTGGACTTCACCTGGGAGGAATGGCAGCTCCTGGCCCCTGCCCAGAAGAACCTGTACCGGGATGTGATGTTAGAGAACTATAGCAACTTGGTGTCAGTGGGTGAGGACATCTCCCTTGTGTCTCTCAAAGGGTCCCCATCAGTGGCCTTTCCTCTCTCAGCTTCTGAGAGTTTGGGTGTGTCTGTGCTGCTCTGAAGTATATATTCTCAGTTCCCTCTCTGGCCCCAAATTTGAGGGTATGGTATACCCTTCTTAAGAGAAGACCTTTAACTTTACTGATCTGCAAATTGCATGGCTCCTAAAATACAGCAGTGTTCTGTGTTGGAAGACCACAGCTCAGTTCACAGAGCCTACCTCTTCTGTCATTTCCCACGATCAGGGTATGTGGCCAGCAAGCCAGATGCACTCTTCAGATTGGAACAAGGAGAGCCATGGGCGACAGAAGATGAAATCCGCAGTCAAATCCATCCAGGTAAGAGGGAACCAACAAGGAAGGTGGCAAAGAAGTTGTATTTAGTAAGTCAGAGGTGTCACAGCTTCGAGGATGGCTGAGGACATGTGAACAGAGCTCTGGGAATCTCCCCTAGAGGGGCTCTTTCTCTTTGAGGTGCTTAGAACATTTATCTCTTTTTGGGTTCAATCCCTGTTTGTTTCATACAGGCCTCCATTAACTTTCTCTCTAGATTTCTTAGAATTCTCAAGTATTACCACCCTTTGCCTAATGCTGTGTCATCACTTGTTCCTTCTGCTTCTCTCCCTATGGAGGTCTACCTTCCACATCTTCCACATCTCTCTCCAAAGAGAATTGATTGGAGCACTGTCTTTTGACTGCTGCACTTTCCTGCCCCTTTGGATAATGTCAGTTTCCCTTCTTAACATTCACCTCCATTTTCGATTGGGAGTTAGGATTTCAGCATGTGAATTGGTTGGGGGTGGAGCATGAACATCCAGTCCACAGTACCTGCTGTTCTATATGTCTTACATCCTGGCTGTGTAAGAAAACCTTTTGTATCTTCTTTAATCTGACACCACTGCCACATGCACAGTACTTTTGACACCACACGTTAGCAGTTTTCCTCACACCAAGCAGTTCTTTGTGACACCAGCTAGTTGTCCTACGATTTAGCTCAATTCTGACCTTATCTACGTGGAGGTAGTGTCAGATCCCTCAGGTTAAGGGCTCCATCACATAATTCTGCTCCCCACTTTATTTTTTATTTTTTTGAAAAGAGTAATCACATTTATTGATTGATGAAAAGGGTATTTGTTTTTTGCCCCCCATTTTAGATATCAATCCCAAATAGGAGGTCCCCAGTTTACTCACAACTTCTGTCTGACTTGTTTACAAATCAGAGGTTCCCATGACGTCTTCTCCCTTGGAATTGATTACTTGCTAAAATAGCCCAGAGAACAGAATTCTTTTCAAAGATGACATTGTACAAGGAGAAACGAAATTCATCAAAAGAAACAAATATGATGTCTTGTGCTGAAAAGTGCCAGGAAGATCGATGGTACAGGAGTAGAATAGTGTGAGGCCCTGGAGCTGCTCTAGCATCTGGGAGTCTAGCTGGGGCCTCTAATCAGTCTTAAGTCTTCAGGCAATGGGAATACCTCTTTGAGCAGCTGTTTGAGGGATGTGAGGCCTCCTCCAGTGAATTGAGCTCCAATTCAATATATTTTGTATATAAAATAGTGAGTTCAAAGGCCCAAGGCGGGGTGCTCAGTGGGGAGACTGCTTCTCCCTCTCCCCACCCCTCCACTTGTGCTCTCTCTTGATGTTTCGCTCTCTCGAATAAATAAAATCTTTTTTAAAAAAAACACCACCACCACCACCACCACCACCCCACCCTGCCCCAAACAAAGGCCCAAGGCAGGAGCATGTTTGAGAAACCTCAGGGAAGCTGGTATGAATACAGGAAAGGAAGCCAGAGGGAGTGGCTGGCAGTCATGTGGAGATAAGGGCAGTGGGGTAGTGGCTGGAGTTTGGAGTAAACAGCTCATGTAGGACCTTGGAAGAACACTTCAAGGGCTTGATATTTGTAAATAAGGAGATAAGAAAACATTAGGAGTTTTCAGTAGAAGACGAATATGAAATAATTTATACTTAAAATGATGGCTTTGGCCACTTCATAGAAAGGAGATGGTAGTAGACAGAGGTTGAAGCCTGAAATCCGGCCACATACCGACTGCTTTAGTCACCTGAGTAGAGAATGTGAGGTTTGGTCAACATCTGAATGTGTTTATAAAGAGGGCAGAAATTATTTCCTACTGAAGTAGAGAGAGGATGTGAGAGAAAATACAAAAGCAGGATGATGGTGTTTTTGGTGTGAGTCTGGGAGGAGGGAATTGCCATTTCTGAGATGAAGACTTGCAAAGAAGGTGTGGGTTGAGAAGTCAGGGGTTCTGTTTTGGACAGTGGATGTGAGACCCTACTTATGCCCGTTGAGGTATAGCATGCTGTTTGGATTTACCTGAGGAGTCCAGGGAGAGTTTAGGACTAGAGATAGAAATATGGATTGAGTAGATCTCCTGTGATTTGCGCATACAGATTAAAAAGAGCCTGAGAGGGACGCCTGGATGGCTCAGTGGTTGAGCATCTGCCTTCGGCTCAGGGCATAATCCCAGAGTCCCAGAATCAAGTCCCACGTCAGACTCCCTGCATGGAGCCTACTTCTCCCTCTGCTTGTGTCTCTGCCTCTCTCTCTCTGTTTCTCTCGTGAATAAATAAATAAAATCTTAAAAAAAAAAAAAGAGCCTGGGACAACTACCAATCAGAAAGATGGCTATTTGATAAATGCAGGGTTTCCTAATAAGGTAACCAGACCCCTTCTTTTGAAAGTCTGTTTTTGTAGATTTGAGTGACAGCCTGGGTTAGTTTATACAGAATGCCATAAGCACCCCCTCTTGAGCCTAGCCTAGTTGGTGAACCACAATCTTCATTTGTGCTGGGAGAAATTGAATTTGGTGAAAAGTAAAGCAATATATTCTATAGGTAAGATTTTAGTAGCAAATAGATGACAAATTGGCATATAATATGTGGAGGTTCAGCATTTGAGTGAGCCATCTTTTTTTTTTTTTTGAGAGAGTGCATGTGAGTGGGGGAGGGGCAGAGGGAGAGACAATCTTAAGCAGGCTCCATGCTCACCACGGAGCCTGATGCATGGCTTGATCCCACAATCCTGAAGTCATGACCTGAGCCGAAATCAATAGTCAGACACCCAACTGAGTGAGCTACCCAGTCGCCCCTTGAATGAGGCATCTTGTGCTACAGTTCTGGACTGTGTGAAGTTAATTGTCAAAGTTAAAAATGAAGTGGAGCACCTGGGGGGCTTAGTTGGTTAACAGTCTGACTATGGCTCAGGTCAATGATCTCAGGGTCCTGGGATCAAGCCCCTTGTTGGGCTCCATGCTCAGCAAGGAGTCTGCTTCTCCCTCTCCGTCTGCCTGTCTCCCCATCATCCCTCTGCTTGTGCTCTCTCTCAAATAAATAAAATCTTTTTAAAATTATTTTTTATTTTTAAATTTTTTAAAAGATTTTATTTATTCATGAGAGACACACAGAGAGAGAGGCAGAGACATAGACAGAGGGAGAAGCAGGCTCCATGCAGGAAGCCCAATGTGGGACTCGATCCTGGAACTGCAGGATCACGCCCTGGGCCAAAGGCAGATGCTCAACCGCTGAGCCACCCAGGTGCCCCAAAATCTTTTTTAAAAAATGCTAGGAATACTTTGGAAACTTAGTGGGAACAGCTTACAGTGACATAGAATGGGAGAACAGTAGCATGATATGTGGGAGACAAATAGGATTGGAGCAAAGATGATGAAGGGCAAAGAGTGCAGGTGTGAGTGTGGAAATGTGCACAGCCATGTGGAGGTGGTCAAGGAATTAGCCTAACCCCAGGCACAGAAAGGCCGAGTTTAGAAGGAATTTTGTAGGGGAACTAGTGGAGCAGGAACATGGATAAGTGGGCTAATTGTTGGAAATCTAACTTATTTCCAGGCTAACTGTTGTGGACTTTGTTAGAAACTGAGTAAAATGGTGGAGCTGTAGGTTTGATTTGTCCTTGAATATATCCCATTTTTAACTAGATGGCAGCAGTGTAGCAAGTGGTACATCCAGTAGTTCTAAGAAAAGTGGAAGGCAAAGCCACCAACAGTCTTGGTTTGGGATCAGAAATGTGATCCTTTAGCACCCCTTAAATGATGCAAACCAAGACATATATGCAGAATTTTGAAAGAAGATGATTTTAGTGGCAAACTGCGGGTTTGGGGCTTATTACATTGAAATGGGAACAGGTGAAATAGTCCATGTATACAAGTACAAAATGTGACTGAAAAAGATGACAATCCCTAGTGTGGTATTGTGATGTAAGAAGTATAGTTTGGTCTTTGGCTCTGGTTCCTGGCACAGAACATCCTACAACCCTTGTAGTTTCCTGAGTATGGGAATGTTTATTTCCCTTATTAGTACAGACAATGTTTGGTGCCCCTCTGTGGGCTTTTTAAAATCTTTGGTATTTTTGTTTTTATTTATTTATTTATTTACTTACTTATTTATAATTTTTAAATTTTTAAAAAGATTTTATTTATTTAAGAGAGAGTGAGAGAGAGCACAGCAGGGGGAGCAGGAGAGAGAGAAGCAGGCTCCCCCTACTGAGCAGGAAGCCCAATGAGGGACTTGGTCCCAGGACCCTAGGATCATGACCTGAGCCAAAGGCAGACACTCAACCAACTGAATCACTGAGGTGCCCCAAAACTCTCAATGTTTCAGTAACTGTAACATATTCCCATGCCTTCACCTTTTGATGTACACATTTTTCCAAGTATAAACTCATCCAGTTTTCTGTCTTTACATGATATTTATACACTGATGATTTCTACATTGTTATTTCCAGTTAAGACCTTGCTCAAGATTTATATATCCAATCAAGTTCTTCATGTCTGTACCACCTATCCAAAACCTATCTGAAGACTGGTACGCTTGTAAATACACACTCAATTTACCCTTATTCCAAACCTCAATAATAATTCCCATCTCATTACCTATCCACTGGCCCAGGTCAGACACTTCAGAATAATACTTGATTCCTCACATTTATCAGTTGTCCCCACATTGAAACCATGAGTGAGTCTTGTCTTCTTTCCTGATTATGTTCTGACTTGCCTCCACCTTGCTCTCCATTGCTCCCTGAACCCAGTTTTCATTGTTTTGTACCTGCTTTTTCTATTACTTCTCACTTACTCTGTTTTTTCTAACTAGAATGTATGCTCAATGAAAATAAGGATTGTGTTTCTATATCCTCATCATCAGCACAATGCCTGGTACAGAGACATAGTTTAATAAGGATTTATGGATGTATGAATGTGTCCCACATAATTTTAAAACAAATACTCCTCTATTTCCTAGTGCTTATAGGAATTTGATTTTATTGAACCACCCAGCATGTTTTGTAAGTTACAGTTAGAAAGCAGCCAAATCCTGGGGCACCTGGGTGGCACAGTCAATTAAGTGTCCAATTCATGGTTTTGGCTTAGGTCGTGATCTCAGGGTTGTGAGATCAAACCCCAACTTGGGCTCCATGCTTAGCATGGAGTTTGCTTGAGATTCTGTCTCTCTTTCTCCCTCTGCCCCTCCTGCTAGTGCACACACTCACTCTCTCTCTCTCTCTCTAAGATAAATAATCTTTTTTAAAAACCAACAACAGCTAAATCTACGTTTATTCATTTTCAGTGATCTAATCTTGTTTATGCCCTGACGGTTCTTATCTTGTATTTTCTTTGCTTATGTTACTGTGTTTAACCTTTGTCTAAGTGATGACAAGCATATTTACTTGGAGTTTCTTTAAAATGAGGTAATAGCATTATCAATAAAGAGCCAGCCTACACAAAGCCATTTGTGAAATAGTTTTATTATATTCCAGCCTCATGAAAAGATTCGTTCTTGTCTTCTTTCCTAGAGATCAAGAAAGATGATAGTCATCTACAGGGGCACTTGCAAAATCAAACATGTCCAAAGAGAATGAAACAAGGCCACAAACATAATGCATTTGGAAACATCATTCTTCAGAGTAAAAGTAATTTTCCTTTAAGGCAAAATTACGATATCTTTGACTTACATGGGAAAACACGGAAATCAAATTTAAGGATAGTCAACCAGAACAGAAGCTATGAAGTAAAGAACTTCATTGAGGTTAATGGAGATATGAAATCTTTCTCCCATACAAAGCATGACCAGTATTGTATTGAAATTAAATTCCCTGAATGTGGAAATTCTATGAATACAAATTCCCAATTCATCAAGCATCAAAGAACCCAAAAAATAGAGAAACCCCATGTATGTAGTGAATGTGGAAAAGGCTTCTTCAAGAAGTCTCGGCTCATGGATCATCAGAGAGTTCACACAGGAGAAAAGCCTCATGGGTGCAGTGTATGTGGGAAAGCATTTTCCAGAAAGTCCAGGCTCACTGAACACCAGAAAACTCACATAGGTGAGAAGCGGTATGAATGTTCTGAATGTGACAAAGCATTCCCCAAGAAATCACGGCTACTCATGCATCAGAAAACTCATACAGGAGAGAAACCCTATGTGTGCAGTGAGTGTGGAAAAGGCTTCATCAAGAAATCTCGGCTCATTAATCATCAGAGAGTTCACACAGGAGAGAAGCCTCATGGATGCAATTTGTGTGACAAAGCATTCTCCAGAAAGTCCAGGCTCATTGAACATCAGAGAACTCATACAGGAGAAAAACCTTATGAATGCACTGAATGCGACAAAACATTCCGCTGGAAGTCACAGCTCAATGCCCATCAGAAGACTCATACAGGAGAGAAATCATATATATGCAGTGAATGTGGGAAAGGTTTCATTCAGAAGGGCAATCTCATTGTACATCAGCGAACGCATACTGGGGAGAAGCCTTATATATGCAGTGAATGTGGGAAAGGTTTCATTCAGAAGGGCAATCTCCTTATACATCAACGAACTCACACTGGAGAGAAACCCTATGTATGCACTGAATGTGGGAAAGGCTTCAGCCAGAAGACATGCCTCATATCACATCAGCGATTTCACACTGGAAAGACTCCCTTTGTATGTACTGAGTGTGGAAAATCCTGTTCTCACAAGTCTGGTCTCATTAACCACCAGAGAATTCATACAGGAGAGAAACCCTATACCTGCAGTGACTGTGGGAAGGCTTTTAGAGATAAGTCGTGCCTTAACAGACACCGGAGAACTCATACAGGAGAGAGGCCCTATGGATGTGCTGACTGTGGAAAGGCTTTCTCTCACCTCTCATGCCTTGTCTACCATAAGGGAATGTTGCATGCAAGAGAGAAAGGTGCGCATTCAGTTGGGTTGGAGAATCCTTACTCAGAGAGCCCCAGATCATCACTTTCAAATGATAACATGCAGGAGAAAAACCCTGTTAACACAGTGTCGGTGCAGATGTCTTCTGTAGCAGCTCAGACTTCATTACACCTCCATGGGCTCCTAGCAGATAGGAACATAGTCACTGTGCGACAGCCAGGTGCCAGATGTACACCACCAGCAAATAACAGAAGTTGTACAGAGAAACCTTTTGAATGCAGTGAATGTGGTAGTACCTTCACTGATCATTTACATCATATTTTATGTCATAAAAAGCACACAGCGGTAAAGTGTGATACAATCAAGGTGGAAAACCCTTGAATAAAACCTTCCAGCTCATTATGCGGCTGGTAAGTGTATACTGAGACAAGTAGCATAAAGACCAGGAATAGTATAAAGACAAATAGTATCAAGATCAGGAAAGCCTTTCTGGAAGGATAGACCTTCCTGGTGCCTCACAGGTCACATATCATTAGTGAGCTCATAGCTGGTAGAAATATAATGACCTTGGAAAAGTCCTTCCCCAGAAATAAGACTTCGGTAAGCATCAGAGTTCACACAGGAGAGGAACTGTTGGAAGAGCTCTGAAAGCAGTGAATGTGGCAGGGTTGTCAGTGGAGCATTTTGCCTCATCAGTAGGCAGAGGAAATAATACAGAAACAAAACTCTGCACACAGCAACTGTGGAACATCTTCGGAAAACACATAAAGCAAACAAGCCCTGTGAAAATGAATATTTTAAAGATTTCTGCCACAAGTCTACCATCATTTTATATCAGATAATGTACATAGTGTACATTTAGGACATACACCTTGAATCAAACTCCTAATTGATATGATGGTCATTCCTTAATTCAGTGGTTAGAGTTATAACAGTGTATCCCCTCCCTTTTCAGGGTGTGGGGGCATGAATCTTTCATTCCCACCCATGATCATTACGCAGTTAGCTCTTGTGTTTCTCTGGTTCTAAATTTGTTGAGTTTATTTTAGGTTACTAAATACTGAAGTCTATCCTTCAAAAGGAAAGTGGATGCATTTGATTCAATAACATAACTTAGGGTGTTTGGATGTGTTTAACTTTGTAAATATCACCCAAAGGGACAGCTGCTCACAACTGAAAACCTATCGGCCAGGTTTTTTCCATGGAGGATAGTTCACATCTGATCTACACACCACTCAGAAAAACTTTCATCAACTATTTCCTTTACCTGGTGCTATTCTAAGACCTACAGATGCTGACAGTGATGAACTGAACAAAAGTCCTTGCTGCCTTTGAGTTGGCTTTTTTAAAGCTGGATTATATGCATGTAGCAATTTGACCCTCCAGCAAATGTAATCAAAGGATGTATATGCCTACATTAGTTGAAAAGGACATACTATAGAAGGTACAAAGTATCCTGATTATTTCGTGTTCAAGGCGCATATTATTTTTTGGAGAGGGAACAGGAAAGGATTTACTTAGTTTTACACATGTAAAATAGGATATGGGGACTTTTTAAAAAGGTTTGTATCTTATTTCTCTACCTGGATTATAAATGCCTATCTGGATAGTTTATAGATAGTCCTATATTCTGCAGCAATAGCAAAATAGAAACGGATTACATAGCTTTGAAAGATGATTGAAAATGAATGTGTGACCTAATGAATGACCTAACAGACTAATCAAGCAAACTTATTTTTGTCACCGAAGGAAAGGGAATGAATGCCAAAAATCAGTATTCTCCCAAGAAACATTTTTAAAAAGAATCCTGAGTAGAGGCCCTTGGCAATACAGAAGGGGCAGATCAGCAAGGGAATAAGATCCACAGAATAAGCCCAATTAATGGAAGAAAATGACGTCACTTTAAAAATGGAGGACAGTGTGTTTGGCAGGTGGAGGTGAGATTCCCTTCAGATGTCATGGAGAAGAGCCCTGAACTGTTCACAGTCTGCCATCTATGAGAGTTGCCACCATCTCTGGGATCCTGGCTCCTCTGTGATGTGATGAGACATGATGTAGCGTCATCCTCACTGTCCTGGGAAGGGGCCTGTATCCTCTCTTCTGTACTCAGGGTTCTTCCCCTCGGTTCAATAAAGATCTATGCAGCTTAAAAACAGTCCTGCTTACAAGGGAAAGCGGTGGAAATTTGCCATGAAGTGGCTGTCTCCCAATTGAGATCCAAACTGAGTTTTTGAGTAATTTACTACTACAGACATTTTTTTGAGCATCTGCACTGTGATAAGCACTGTTGTAGACATGGGATACACTGGTGAACAAAACATGCAGAATAATGGCCTCTAACAGGATGGATTCAGGACAGATGCTCTTCAAAGAATCAAATGGATTCTTCAACTCGGGCTTCAGGTCCTCTCCATTTCTTGTTTTGTGAATCTGCATATCCCATCATGATGGTCAGTGATTTTCTACTTAAATCTGCAGTCTACCCCTGAATGGGCTGCCTGGCCTGCCCTGAACCTGAGGACCAGATGCTGAATTAACCCACCTTTCCGACGCTGGCATCCCAGGTAAATAAAACATTGTCATGGGATACTTTAAGAAGGCTGTCTCAGGGATCCCTGGGTGGCGCAGCGGTTTGGCGCCTGCCTTTGGCCCAGGGCGCGATCCTGGAGACCCGGGATCGAATCCCACATCGGGCTCCCGGTGCATGGAGCCTGCTTCTCCCTCTGCCTGTGTCTCTGCCTCTCTCTCTCTCTCTCTCTCTCTCTCTCTCTCTCTGTGACTATCATAAATAAATAAAAATTAAAAAAAAAAAAGATTTAAAAAAAAAAAAAAAAAAAAGAAGGCTGTCTCAGCTTACATCCTCTACTGCTTCACCTCTTTGGCTTCATAAAATGAATTTTAACAGTTACTAAGTGTGCTGTTTGCTAAATGATGACCACATTGTTTTGTTACTTAGTATTCTGAAATGCTCCATTTCCAATTTGGTGTATTTTAGGGAACTGCTTTTGTACATTTGAAACCTTTGTCAAGGTACCATTTTCTCAGCTGTTGCACGTGGTAATGAGTGTAGGTACTGAGATCAGGGTTTGGGATCTGCCTGGGTCACTCTGCCTTGTCTGGCTCAGTGTAGGTGGATATATTAGTCTTCTTGAGCTGTCATAACAAAGCACAGACTGGGTATTTTAAACAACAGACATTTGCTCACAATTCCGGAGGTGAGAGTGTGAGATCAAGGTTCATGGGGTTAGTTTCTTCCAAGGTGTCTCCTTGGCTTGTAGATGACCACCTTCAAGACCTAGTCTCCTTTGTGTCTAAATTTCTTTTTATAAGGAGACCAGTTATATTGGATTAGGGCTTCACCAGTGTGAATTTCCACTGAATTATCTCTTCATTTCTAGTAAATTATCTCTTCAAATACCCTATCTCCAAATATAGTCCCATTCTGAGGTACTAGAGAGGTTATTATCAGAACATAAAGATTGGCGGGGGTGGTGGATGATGGTATTTGTCTATGAATGCCATTCAAATTTGGAAATTTATATTGGGTTGATTGATGGAGCTGGCAGGTCATCAGTAAATGGTGGCATCTTTTCCAGATTTGAGGATTAATACAGGGCCATATATCAGTATCTGGGAAAGTCCATGTGTATCTGTGATTGAGAGGCTAAAGGTTTGGAGGCCCAGGACCTCTGGGTTGTTGGAATAGACCTGATGAATATTGTTTTCCCCTCAATCCTTTAAAATCCCTCTTTAGGGATTAGTTATATATGTATATATACATGCATTCATATACATATTATGCACACACACAAACACATGCATTTTCTAGAAAAGCAGTAGGTCCCTAGGGGACAATGATAAGACACAGCCACCCTAGGTAACAGAGATTCCATTGTTTTTTTTTTTTTTTAAGATTTTATTTATTTATTCATGAGAAACACAGAGAGAGAAGGGGGCAGAGACATAGGCAGAGGGAGAAGCAGGCTCTATGCAGGGAGCCGGATGTAGGACTTGATCCCGGTACTCCAGGATCACACCCTGAGGGGAAGGCAGATGTGCTCAACCGATAAGCCATCCAGGCATTCCCCAAATGTCTCTTAAGAGTTGCATTCACTGATTTCTGCCCACAAGTATCTCTACCTTTGGGCTGTGCACCTTTTCCTCTGATAATGTTATAAAGAGTCAGTTATGAAGTTTCTGAGGTCTCAACCAAATTGCCTGGATATCTGAGATCCAGGCTAGGGGGTAAGGGGCCCTGTGAATTTGGAGGATGCAGGAAAATTATAGAAAATGATTAAGGTTAAGGTTGTTCCTAAGATCTTTTTTATTTCATCTTTTAAAAGAGATTTTATTTATATATTAGAGAGAGAGCACACAAGTTGGGGGGGAGGGAGAGAGGGAGAAGCTGAGCAGAGAACCCAATTTGGGGCTCGAATCCAGGACCCTGGAATCATGACCTGAGCCAAAGGGAGACTCTTAACCAACTGAGCCACCCAGGCACCCCCTGAGCAAGGAATTTGATTCCAAAGGCTTAGTGTGACATAATAAGAAATATATTATTTGGTCTCTGCTCCCAGTTCCTGACTCAGAGCTTCAAAAACCCTTGTAGTTTTCTGAGCAATGGTGGGGGGTGATAGAAGCATCTTACACAGAGCTTTTTTTTTTTTTTTTTTAAATTTTTATTTATTTATGATAGTCACAGAGAGATAGAGAGAGGTAGAGACACAGGCAGAGGGAGAAGCAGGCTCCATGCACCGGGAGCCTGACGTGGGATTCGATCCCGGGTCTCCAGGATCGCGCCCTGGGCCAAAGGCAAGCACCAAACCGCTGCGCCACCCAGGGATCCCTTTTTTTTTTTTTATAATAATCATCTTTATTTTTTTTTTAATTTATTTATGATAGTCACACAGGGAGAGAGAGAGAGGCAGAGACACAGGCAGAGGGAGAAGCAGGCTCCATGCACCGGGAGCCTGACGTGGGATTCGATCCCGGGTCTCAGGATTGCGCCCTGGGCCAAAGGCAGGCGCTAAACCGCTGCGCCACCCAGGGATCCCATACACAGAGCTTTTAAATCCCTTGAAATTTCCTGTGATAGAAGTATCTTTTGTTCTAATAAAATGACTCTCCTGGATGTCTTCTGGATCGAGGCTGATTACCAGAAAGACCACCACCTTTGATGAGACACTTAGAACTTTCAGGGAAGGGAGAAGGCCTAGATATTGGGTTAATAATCCATTATTCATTTGAATCTATCTATCGGTCAATCTGTGTATCTGTAATCATTTGAAAGTTTTGTCTTTAAAAAGCATTCATGATGGGACACCTAGGTGGCTCTCGGTTAAGCGTTTGCCTTTGGCTCAGGGCATGATCATAGAGTCCCAGGATCGAGTCCCACGTCAGGCTCCCTGCATGGAGCCTGCTTCTCCCTCTGCCTGTGTCTCTGCTTCTCTCTCTGTCTCTCATGAATAAATAAATAAAATCTTTCAAAATTAAAATAAAATGCATTCATGAATCAAGTAGGTCATTTTTTAAAAGTAAAAGCCATATATATATATTTTTTTTAATGGTTAATATTTATGCATATATCTATTCAGCAAACAAGTGAGTTCCCTTTTATGTCCCCAAGACCATCCCCAGGTTTGGTAATTTGCAAAGACTCAGAACTCAGAAAACTTCTACTCAAGGTTACATTTATTATAGAAAGGATAGAGATTAAAGCAGCAAGGGAAGAGCCACAGTGTGACAGGGTGGGAGCTGGGTGTCACATGGTGTCTGCACTTGTGGAGAGGCTGGAGGCCGAAGTCACCCATGTGTGTGTCCTGCCTTGCTGACGTGGTCAAGCCCCAGTAGAGAGTGGACATCAAGGCTCAGGTGAGTTTTCCCTGCTAGCAGTTCCTCTTGCCTACTGTCACAAGTTCATGCCAAGGAAGTAACACTGCCTGTGACTCCATTGTGGGAAGACAGCTCACAGCTCTGTGTTTGGAACTTTCCTGTATTCTGTGCTTTGTGCCACTTTTTTTGTCTGATGTCAACCGTATCCTTTAACTATAGTAAGCTGCAACTGAGTGTAACAGTTTTCAGTGAGTTCTGAGTCCCACTAGCAAATTATCATGGTGTTACAGAATAATCTCCCAACCTTTGGTAGCTTTGTGTTGCATTTAGGGTAATTTCTAGTCTACTAATTATCTCTTCAATGTCTCTAATGTGCTTTTTAAATATGTGTACATTTGTTTTTTCAGAAATAGTCTTTTCCTCAAATCTGCCTACTTGAGAGTTCTTGCTCTTTAGACATTTTAAAATATTTTATTCCTTATAACTTTTTTTTTTTAGAGAGGGAGAATCTTTTTTTTTAATAAATTAATTTTTATTGGTGTTCAATTTACCAACATACAGAATAACACCCAGTGCTCATCCCGTCAAGTGTCCCCCTCAGTGCCCGTCACCCATTCACCCCCACCCCCCGCCCTCCTCCCCCTCCACCACCCCTAGTTCATTTCCCAGAGTTAGAAGTCTTTATGTTCTGTCTCCCTTTCTGATGTTTCCCACACATTTCTTCTCCCTTCCCTTATATTCCCTTTCACTATTATTCATATTCCCCAAATGAATGAGAACATACACTGTTTGTCCTTCTCCGATTGACTTACTTCACTCAGCATAATACCCTCCAGTTCCATCCACGTTGAAGCAAATGGTGGGTATTTGTCGTTTCTAATGGCTGAGGAATATTCCATTGTATACATAAACCACATCTTCTTTATCCATTCATCTTTCGATGGGCACCGAGGCTCCTTCCACAGTTTGGCTATTATGGACATGGCTGCTAGAAACATCGGGGGGTAGGTGTCCCGGCGTTTCATTGCATCTGAATCTTTGGGGTAAATCCCTAACAGTGCAATTGCTGGGTCGTAGGGCAGGTCTATTTTTAATTCTTTGAGGAACCTCCACACAGTTTTCCAGAGTGGCTGCACCAGTTCACATTCCCACCAACAGTGTAAGAGGGTTCCCTTTGGGAGAGAGAATCTTAAACAGGCTCAGTGCCTGGCTGGTTCAGTTGGTAGAACATTCGACTCTTGATCTTGAGGTTGTGAGTTCAAGTTCTGCATTTGGGAGTAGAGATTACTTTTTAAAAAAAATCTTAAAAAATAAATGGGAAACACTAATGTTAAAGAGGACCATGTTGTTACAGGGATTGCTGATTCTGGAGGATGTGACTGTGGACTTCACCTGGGAGGAATGGCAGGTCCTGGCTCACTGCTCAGAAGGACCTATACTGGGACGTGATTTTGGAGAACTATAGGAACCTGGTGTCAGTGGGTGAGGACAGCTTCCCTGTGTCACTCAGAGGGTCCTTTTTTTCTTTTCTTTTTTTAAATTTTTTTTTAATTTTTATTTATTTATGATAGTCACAGAGAGAGAGAGAGAGGCAGAAACACAGGCAGAGGGAGAAGCAGGCTCCATGCACCGCAAGCCCGACGTGGGATTCGATCCCGGGTCTCCAGGATCGTGCCCTGGGCCAAAGGCAGGCGCTAAACTGCTGTGCCACCCAGGGATCCCGACTCAGAGGGTCCTGATCAGTGGTCTTTCCTCTGTTAGCTGCTTAACGCTTCAGAGTAAATGCAGTGCTCTCATGTGGTAGATTCTCAGATCCTTCTCTGGCTTCAGGCAAAAATGTATAATGTGCCTGCTCCTGAGAGAAAAGCCTCTGGGTTGCAGATGTGAAAATTGTCAGTCTCTCAAATGTAGCATTCTCCCACCTTGACAGACCCCAGCCCATTTCAAAGCATTCTGTCTTTTCCATGAACAGGGTATCAAGCTACCAAACCAGATGTACTCTCCAAGCTGGAATGAGGGCAAGAGCTGTGGATGGCAGAAGAGGAAGTCCATAGTCGAACCCATCCAGGTGAGTGGGTGAGAACAGCAAGGTGGACAGCTGAGGAAGTCATGTTCTCATCTGTCAGGGAAGGCTCCAGGCCTATGAGCGGGTCTCAGGATGTCTAAACAGCTTCGCCTCAGGGCGCTTGAGTGGCTGAGTTATTTAAGCATCTACCTTTGGTTCAGGTCATGATCCCAGGGTCCTAGGATCGAGCCCCTCATTGAGTTTCTTGCTCAGCATGGAGTCTCCTTGTCTCCTCTCCCCTTCCCCCTAGCTTGTGTGCTTTCTCTCCCTCTCTCAAATAAAAAATAAAATCTTTAAAAATACTAAGGGGCCCCTGGATGGCTCAGTGGTTGAGCATCTGCCTTTGGCTCAGGTTGTGATCCTAGGGTCCTGGGATCAAGTACCACATCAGGCTCCCTGCGAGGAGCCTGCTTCTTCCACTGCCTGTGTCTCTGCCTCTCTGTGTGTCTCTCATGAATGAATAAATTTTAAAAATCTTAAAAAAAAAACAAAAACAAAAACAGCTGCCCCTCCTATCCTTCTTCCCTTAAAAGAGCTTCTTTGTAGAGTCAAGAGGAAAATATGCCCCTTTTATTCCTCTGAGAGCTGATCTCCATTTATGTACATCTTGATTTTTTGTTGTTGTTTGGTTCTCTATTTCCTACTTTTCTCAAATCTTTTTTTTAAAAAAAGGATTTATTTATTTTAGAGAGAGCATGTGAATGAGTTGGGGGTAGGGATAAAGGGAGAGAGAATCTCAAGCAGATTCTGCAATGAGTGTGGAGCCTAATGCGGGCTTGATCTCATGATCACGAGATCATGACCTGAACTGAAACCAAGAGTCAGATGCTTAACTGTGCCACCCAGGCGCCCCAACTCAAATCTCCTTTTCTGTTCATTGTAGCAGTGTCTCTACTTCTTCCACCTCCATGCTGTGAAATCCCACCTTCCAGGTGCTACTCCAAATGTAGACCTTTGAATTCGACATAGTCTTCCAACTAGTTCATCTTCCTGCTCCATTGCAAACTAGTGATTTCCCTTCTTAGCGTTCAACCTTACTTTGGGTGCTGTATCCACACCATAATCTGATCTCTGTGTTTCCATGGTTTCTTAGCTTGTTGTAGACTAAATGTTTGTGCCCTCTCAATATTCAGATATTGAAATCCTAATCCTTAAGGTGATGTATTAGGTGAGGCCTTTGAGAAGTGATTAGGTTATGAAGACCCTGCCTCTTCTGCCATATGAGGTTGTAGCTGGAAGGCACTTCCTGTGAAGGAGGAGGCCTTCCAGACACTGAATCTGCTGGAACCCTGATCTGGGACCTCCCAGCCTCCAGAAAGATGAGAAATAAATTTCTGTTGTTTTTGTTATAGCAGTTTGAATGAACTAAGACACTTCTCATTTCCCACTCTGAAATTGTCCAAAGGTTCTGTTTTCCATTTCTTGCTCTGTTCTCATTTCCTTACACCTTGCCTTCATTCTGATGAGTTAAGCTCTTATTCTGTATAAAGACTCCTACATTCACAGAAACCCTGAGTGATTTCAGAATTTTTGAGGAACTAAAATCACTTTCTCTACAAGAAAATTTCTTCCATTTCTCTCTCTCTCTCTCTCTCTCTCTCTCTCTCTCTCTCTCTCTCTCTCTCTCTTTTAAGCTTAGGGTCTTCTAACAGTTTAGAAAAATGAGTGTCTACTCAAGGTTAAGAAAGAACAGTGGGAGGGATGCCTGGGTGGCTCACTGGTTGAGTGTCTGCCTTTGGCTCAGGGTGTGATCCTGGGGTCCTAGGATCTCAAGTTCTGCATCAGGTTCCCCACAGGGAGCCTGCTCCTCTCTCTGCCCATGTCCTTGCTTTTCTCTCTGTGTCTCTCATGAATAAATAAATAAAATCTTGAAAGAAAAAAAAAGAAGGAAGGAAGGAAGGAAAAAGAGAGAGAGAGAAAGAAAGAAAAAGAAAGAAGAAAGAAAGAAAGAAAGAAGAAAGAAAGAAAGAAAGAAAAGAATGAAAAAGAAAGAAGAGTGGGAATTAAGAAAGAGGTCGGAAGATCTAAGAGGCTGATTCTCCAGAAGCAGAACAGAAATGTCTTTTTTTTTTTTTTTTTAAATTTATTTATGATAGTCACACACACACAGAGAGAGGCAGAGACACAGGCAGGGGAAGAAGCAGGCTCCATGCACTGGGAGCCTAACGTGGGATTTGATCCCGGGTCTCCAGGATCGCTCCCTGGGCCAAAGGCAGGCGTTTAACCGCTGCGCCACCCAGGGATCCCCAGAAATGTCTTTTGAGAAAGTAAGAGCCATGAACATTATCTGGCATTGCTGAGTCATCAAGTAAGGTATAAACTAAGGGACAGGAATGTGATCTTTACTGTTGTCTTCCCATTCTTATAGTTGTATATGTGTGTACATTTTTTTTTTTTTACTTTGAATTCTCTTTTTGTGAAATGGTCTTTGACTACTCCTTTGTGTCTTTCTTCTAAGAATTCACATTGTACTTTATGCCCAGACCATCGAAATGCAGCCTTGAAAACACTGTATCCATCTATTTTTTAAACATTTCTTAAATCCAAGGCTTTTGTTGAAGACTGTGTGCATAATACATGTCCAAGCCTCTTCTTCTTAGTCTCGTTGATTAGATTTTGGGCACAAGTCTGGGGATATCAATATTTAAAGTTCTCTAGAGGATGCTGTTGTGGCAGTTTACCTGGTGACTCACAGCTAAAATGCTGAATTTCAAGAGAAGCAAATACCATCTGGTAAGCAAAGATTTTTGTCGTGAATATATAACATGGATACATGAAAATCTGTATGCAATATAGGTTTTGAGCACAAGATATTGTTGCTAGATTTCAAGGTTGAAGTTACATGTCAAAACAATTAGTAAAGATGTGATATTGTAGAAATCTAGAGGAAATACAGCCTACAGTTATATAGAGAGCATGGGGAGTGATGGCATGATATGTGGGAGCATATCTAGATTTTAAATAAAGAAGGTAATGTGGGGTGCTTGGGTGGCTCATGTTAGCCTCCAATTCCTGATTTTGGCTCAACTCATGATCTCAGGGTCATGAGATCAAGCCCTCTGTCAGGCTCTGTGCTTAACATGGAGTCTGCTCGAGATTCTCTCTCTCTCCTTTTCCCTATGCCGCTTCCCCTACTTGTGTGTGCTCTCCCTCTCTAAATAAATAAATAAGATCTTAAAAAAAAAAAAGAATGGATCCCTGGGTGGCTCAGCAGTTTAGCACTTGCCTTTGGCCCGGGGTGTGATCCTGGAGTCCTGGGATCGAGTACCATGTTGGGCTTCTTGTGTGGAGCCTGCTTCTCCCTCTCCCTGTGTCTCTGCCTCTCTCTCTCTCTCTGTGTCTCATGAATAAATAAATAAAATCTTAAAAAAAAAGATAATGAAGGGCAAATAGTGGAGCATAAATAGTTGGAAATCTACAAGGCCATGTCCAAGACTTCCATGGATTGGTCTGAAGCCAGCCATGTAAAGGCCAATGTCAGAGAGTATTTGTGGGGGAAGTAGTGGAATGGAAATGGGTAAATGGGGTAATTAAGGCAGTATTAACTTTTATTGCCATGCTGTTTAGATTTTATCTATTAGTAATTGAATTAGTTGGGGTAGCACAATGGTAGAGGTGTTTTGTTTTGTTTTTTATATCTCTGGGTAGTCTTAATTTCTACCTGGTAGCAGCTGTATAGCAATAATAAGGAACAGCCAGAGGTTGTAGGAAAAACTGAATGGGTAGCTGGCTCGAGTCTTGGTAGAAGGAGTCAAGTGGTCCTTTAGGCTACTTAACTGATTCCAACATGGAGACATAAATGTAGAATTATGGAAGAAGATGCAGTTTGTTGCAAGATGAAGGATCACTGCATTAGGGATATCAAAATGAGGGAAAATCAGATGTGACATCTTTATAGGTACAGCATGCAGAATGTGACTGAAAAAGATGACAGTTATCATGTTTAGAAGGACATCTGCCTCTGGAGAACTCTGAGTGTCCTTCTACCAGCCTGTTGGAAATTCCTGGTGGTCACGGTCTCTCATCTTTGCCCCTTTCTTCAAGAACATACCCTAGCTAGACTAAGAGTTGGAGTGTTGAGATAGGAGTTTCTCTCTAAATGTGTGACCAGTTTGATGATGCTATGCAGAATGAGGAAAAGGATAAATTTTAGAAACAGGATGACCACTGAAAAGTAGCACAGATATGTCAAAATCAAACTTCTGAATTGCCTCCCTGAGCCATTTGTTCATAACAAGCGTTTGCTTCTGTCCTCAACCAGCATAATCAGTTTGTGTTCTTCGGTGGGATCTTCAAATCAGAAGTTTGAATATTTGAGCAACTGACATCTTGTTCCTCTGCCTCAACTTTCTTTCAATCTTTGCATTCTCTGAACATGACTTCAGCTCATGCTTTATCCTTAAATACTTATATACTGATGTTTTTCACATTGCTATGTCCACAAAAGCTAATTCTCAGCATTTATATATTCAACTGGATACTGGCACTTTACTAATAAAATATAAATGTTTCTAAAAGTCCACTTATTTCCCCTACATTCTGAACTTCAGTAACATTCACCCTCTTGAAGGGAGTTTCCACTTACCTCTTGACTCAAGCAAAATATTTTGGAGTAAACCTTAATTCCTCATGTTCTTTATCCACCTTCTCATTTTTAATTCACTGATGAGACTTGTCTTACTCCACAGTGTACCCTCATTTCCTCCACCTCTCTTCGTCTCCTTTGCTCCTTCAAACCACTTATAATTTGCAGCTGCCTCCTTTTTTTCTTTGCTTATTTTATTTTCCCTAACTAGAATGTAAGCTCAGTGAGAATAATATGTTTAAATGCCCCCAACACGAGCACTATGGCCAGTACCTAACAGGCATTTTATCAGGATTTGTGGAATGACTGAATGCAGCCCTTCTAATTTTAGATGATGTTTTCTTTCCACCTCCTTCCCCCTCTTCCTTTTTTTTTTTCCTTTTTTTTTTTTTTTTTTTTTTTGTTCTAACAGTGTCTTTCTTATTTTCTACTCCTGCATGTTTTGCAAGACACTACTTAGGAAGCAGCTGACTCTATTTATTCATTGTGAATTATCTAAGCTCATTTGTATGTTTATTGCTTTTGCCACTTGATTTTTGTGTATTATATTTTCACCAGTGCTCAAGAAATAAGAAACATTATTAAAGATTCTTTTATACTGAGATCCTGCAGGCAACACTAAAGATTGGCCAATCTATACCTGAGCATTCATTGTTCTCTTCTTTCCTAGAAGTCAAGGGAGTTGATGATCATCTGCAGTAACACTTGCATACCTGAGATTTCTAAAGACAACTAAATATGAAACGATGTGTGAACATAATGTCTTTGAAAATATTGTTCATCTGGACCAACACCGTTTTCCTTTAAGGCAAAATCATGGAAATAAAATTTAAATTTAGTCAGTTAAAACAGAAGCTGTGGAATAAAGAACGCTGTTGAGCATGGTGGAGATGGAAAATCCTTTCTCCTTACATAATATGAGCAAATTCATACTAAAATGCCTGAAATTGGAAACTCATCAGCACGAAGGCTCCCATTTGTTAAGCATCAGGGAACTCAGAAAATTGAGAAATGCATATATGTAGTAAATGTGGGGAATCCTTCATCAGAAGTCTCAGCTCACTAAAGATGAGAGAATTCATTGGGGAGAGAAACCCCTGAATGTAGTACAAATGGAAAACACATACCACAAAGTCTAGGCTCATTGAACACCAGAAAATTCATACAGAAGAGAAACTTTATATAAGGTCAATGCGGCAAAGCATGTTATAGGAAGTCAGAAGTCATTATACGTAAGAGAAATGAAAGAGGAGAAAACCCCTGTTGATACACTAAATGTGGCAAAGCCTTTTTCATTAAATGACATCTCATTTTATAATATCAGAAAACTCATACCTGATAGAAACCCGTCATGTGTAAGGATTGTGGAAAGGGCTTCACCCAGATTAGTTTCACTGTACATTGGTGAACTCGTACTGGTGAGAAACCTTATGTATGCAGTAAATGTGGACAAGCTTTATCCAGAAGATAGGGCTCATATGACATCAGAGAGTTCATACAAACAAGACTTCCTTTGTAGGTAGTAACTGTGGAAAATCCTGTCCTCAGAAGTCAGGTCTCATTAAACATCAGAAAATGCCCACAGGAGAGAAACCTCATAAGAGAAACCTCATAAGTAGTGGATGTGGGAAAACCATCATGAAGTAACAGCTCATTGTCCATTAAAGAACTCCTATAGGAGAGAGATCCTATGAATGCACTGGATGTGGGAAAGCTTTCGCCTATAAGTTTTGCCTTATTAAACATGAGACATGCACAAAGTTAGAAATACGTAGATTCTAAATGTGGAAAACCCTTCTACAGAGAGTTACAGCTTATTACATATAAGTGAAATGCTGTTAATTTGGTCACTGCAAATGCCATGTGTTGCCCCTCAGACATCATTAAATATCAGTGGGCTCCTAACAAATAGGAACATAGTCCTTTGGAGCAGACGCTTGCTAGATATGTGCCCTCAAGAGATAGCAGAAAACGTGCACGGGAGAATAAAAACCTTCTAACTGTAGTGAATGTGATTGTGGCTTCACTGGTCAATTAGGTCACATTTTGTCTCAAAAAAAAAAAAAAAACCTATGGGAAGGAAACATAATCAAGATAAAAAAAAAACAGTGAAAAAAAAGTCCAGCTCATTATATAGTTAAGTATATTTTGAGAGAACTATGAATGCAGAGATTGGGAAAGCCTGATAAATTCCATCCTATGTGTATATTTATGTGTTGATACAGAGACATAGTTTGATGTTATTTTTTTTTAAAGATTTTATTTATTTATTCATGAGAGACAGAGGCAGGCACACACAGGCAGGGGGAGAAGCAGGTTCCACGCTGGGAGCCCAATGCAGGACTCGATCCTGGGATTCCAGGATCACACCCTGAGCCAAAGGCAGATGCTAAACCACTGAGCCACCCAGGGATCCCCAGTTTGATGTTACTAATCCCAGCTTCCATTCACATTGAGTGCTCACTTTTGTCAAGTAATCTGGAATGCCTAACATCATAAGTGAAGCAAAACACTACGGTGATTATAAAGAAATAAGATTAAAAAAAGAAATAAGATAATTGGCATCTAGATGTTGCTAGGAATGAAAATCTTTGTAATATAGAATTGATTGATAGGAAAAGGCAGTGTTTGACTAGTGGAGTTTGGGGCACATGTATCCTTTCAGTTTCCCTAGGATAGTGTGGAGGATTAATTGAAAAGTGGTATCCTTTCACAGATTTTTAGGACTTTATATTATGCAGTCACCTGAGAAACAGCCTTACGTTGGATCTCTGTTCAGTGAATATTTGTGAAGTACCTCTTTTGTACCTGGTATTATTCTATCAGCTAAGGACAGCTAAGGGGTAAACAAAACAAAATGCCTTTGTCCTTCTGGAATGAGTGTTGTTAGTTGAATTACATGTAAGTGGTATCTTCTTACTCCATCTAACATACTCAGGGTATGGGCAGCACAGGTGGCTCAACGGTTTAGTGCCACCTTCAGCCCAGGGCGTGATCCTGGAGTCCCCAGGATTGAATCCCACATCAGGCTCCCTGCATGGAGCCTGCTTCTCCCTCTGCTTATGTCTCTGCCTCTCTCTCTCTCTCTCTGTCTCTCATGAAAAAATAAACAAAATCTTTAAAAAAAACATACTCAAAGTATGTAAACTCTACATTAGATGAAATTGACATGGAATAACTGGATCATGGGGTTTGTATTTAGAATGATGTGGAGTTAGATCCTAAAAATATCTTCCCCCAAGGAGAGTAATTTGAATGGGAGACAAGGGAAACATTATTAATAATGTATAAATAACTGAATGATGAATGGATAAAGATGTGTATACACACACACAATGGCATATAAGCCATAAGGAAGAATGAAATCTTGCCATTTCAACTATGTGGATGGAATGAGAGAATATTATGCTAAGTGAAGAAGTCAGAGAAAGACAAATACCATATGAGTTCACTCATGTGGAATTTAGGAAACAAAACATGAACATGGGAGTGGGGGCAGAGAGGCAAACCAATTCTTAACTAAGGAGAACAAACCTGATGGTTACTGAAGGGGAGGTGAGTGGGGAGTGGGTTAAATAGGTGATGGGCATTAAGGAGTGCATGTTATGAGCACCGGGTGTCATGTAAGTGATGAATCACTAAATTCTACAGCTGAAACTGATACTACACTGTATGTTAACTAAATTAGTTAATTTAAATACATTGTTATTAAAAATGTAAATAAAAACTTGGGAAGAAAAAAATGTATAAATAATCCAGGATACAAATACATTTAAAAAAATACCTGTGTCTTTTCTTCCCACATTGATTACACATTCCTTGATAGTTTTGCACTAATTTAGTACCCATTAGCCACATGTTATTTAAATGTAAATTAATTAAAATTAAAAATGTATTTCATCAGTATCAAGTGTTCACATTTCAAGAGTTCAATAGTTACATGTACCTAGTGACTCCCATGTTAGTATGGATATAAAATATTTCATCATCACAAAATGATCTATTGAATAGTGCTGCCTTATCGAGTCCTTTTCTATATCACCTATCCTTTGTGATATAGAAAAAATTACATATTTATTTGGAAGATGAAGTTGATGGACTATAAAGTTCTATCATTGCAAAGAATGAGCAATTGTAAGGTAGTTCTAAAATAACTGTACAAAAAACGTTTTGTGTACATGTGCATCAGATTAAATGTCTGCCTATAAATGGGAGAGTGGAAGAGGAATGGGATCCCCAGGATAAGTAAAGTAAAAGGCATGAGAATCTTTGTCTAAGATGGAAGAAAGCTGGAATATGAAAGGAGGTAAGATTCATCTTGGGTGTACTGGAGAAGAACCCTTGTATTGTTCACAGCCCTATCACCTCTGAAAGTTGCCATAATTTCAAAGTTCCCATTTCCTCTGTGACCTACTTAATTGCACATGTGATTTTCCTTTTCCATTCGTTCTTCCTTTTCTGATTGGGGCTCCTGTTCTCTATTCAGAGTCTTTCTCTTGATCCAATAAAGGTATCTTGCTTAAAAACCTTGAATCCTGGTTAAAGAAGAAGAAATGGATATTTGCTATGCCGCAAATAGATATTTCTATTTCCACCGCAAACCCTGCATTATCAGTGAAATTCAATCCAACATGTATTTTTAAGCAACTAACTGGTTATCTCAACACTTGAGATTTTATTCTGTAATGCAGTCATTAGATAATTGAGAACAGGAAAATTTTCACGATTGATTTGTTTTACTAGGATCACTTTGTCTGCCATATGAAAATGAGCTCGTACAGACCAAGGGTGCAAGCAGGAACAATTTTAGTCTCCCAGGTGGGAGACTGGGCCAGCATAGTAATGATGGAGGAGTGTGAAGATGGAGCTAACTTCGTGCTTTGACCTGTGATTACATGACTTTATCAGGTGCACTCCGAAAATTATAACGGCCCACAGGGTTGAACATAATAAATAAACAGGTTAACCGGACGTCTTTGCCACAGCCTGTGTTCTGGAGATCTCTGGTTCCTTAGGGTGAGAGACCTCTAAGCTCAGTACTGGGGTTGGGGGAATGAGGAGAATATGAGCTGGAACAGGGATAAAAGTGCATTGTAGACCTGGAAACGGCTGGAAAGACGCAGACGCACACGACTGGTAAATCAGTTCTTTGTAGTCATTTTATTTTCTACACATGAATGTTCCCAAGATTGCCAGTTGCCAATATCTAAAACACTGGAAACAACCCAGAGGCAATTATGCTCTGTGAATGTTGCAGGAAAAAAGTGCACACACGACTAATTTCATGAATACACTACAGACTAATCTTTAGTGACATGGGGCTGCCTAGATGGATAAGGGGCAGAGCTGGGATGGGGCTCAACGTCTGTGGCTTCAGCGCGCTTTGCGATCGCCGAACACCCCACACCAGCTCACTTTTCCAAACCCTGCTCTCCCGAGACACCCTTGCGGAGCTCGGGGCACCGCCAGCTCCGAACTTGTCCCGGCAGACGCACACCTGCCCCGGGCACAACCCTCCCCGGCCACAACGCGCCGCCTGCTTTCTAATCAAGGCTGCTTCCATTTTTTGCCCGGCTCCTGAGACTTCGCACAGAGAATCGAGACTGCAGATCCCAGAGGTTATTTTAATTTCCCACCGAGCTGAGACGTCACGGCCGTAGGAGCCGCGCTCCTTAGACGGGGAAGGGCTCCGGCCTTTGAAAAATTGGCGCCGTTCCCCGTCCTCTATAACGAGGAGCTCTGCCCCTTCAAAGATTACCGCCATGGCATATCCGCCTTGCGGGACCTTAAGCCTCTGGACATCTTCCCATCTCCCCGTTAAGAACTGCAGGGCCAGGCGCAGCGGTTTGGCGCCTGCCTTTGGCCAGGGCGCGATCCTGGAGACTCGGGATCGAATCCCACGTCGGGCTCCCGGTGCATGGAGCCTGCTTCTCCCTCTGCCTGTGTCTCTGCCCTCTCTCTCTGTGTGTGACTATCATAAATAAAAAAAAACAAAACAAAAAAAAAAACTTCAGGGCCAGGAAGCCCTGGTGTTCCGGCTACACTCTCACCGTCGCGTCACCGCGCAAACGCGGCCGGCCGTCCTTCAGGACGTCAGGTGTGCAAAGATGGCGGCCTCCAGGGCGTGGAGGCGACGGCGGCGCGGACATATGACCTCATAAGGGAGAGCCGGAAACCCGTATTCGGTTCTCCATAGAAACGCGCCAGAAACGCGGCTGACCCTCGTCAGGTGTTCTCCGGAGATGAGTCTGAGTGAGGGGACTAGAGCGAAGGAAGTTTAGGGAAGTAAGTTGGGCCCTGAAGAGGTCGCTGCAGGCTCAGGAGAGATTCCAGTCCGCGTGTGGGTCTGTCGAAAAGGGCTGGGGGGAGATGGGCGGCCTCTCGGCCTCTGGGTAAGTTGTTGCTCCAGTGAGTGGTAGCTCGTGGGGCGGGTGCGTTTTTTGGAGGTGAGCACGGAGGAGTCGAGGTGTCTTTGGGGTCAATCATAGGGGGCTCTGGTGTTCAGTGATTGAAAGTCTGAACAACTCAACTACCGAGAGTCCTGAGGTCAGGGTTTAGGGTCTTCTTGTAGGTGATTGACAGCTAACGGATGGTGTTTGTCAATAAAGGTGGTGTCTCGCGCGGGTACGGGAATAGTTTGGAGCTCGGGGACGGTGGAACCGTTAAGGGAGGTCAGTGTACGAGTGGAGCTGGTCTGGGTTTGGTATTGATCCAGTGGGAGTGATGGCCTGTCTTTTGTGCAGGGTTGTGTGACAACAGGCGTGGAGGCTCAGGAACCCTAACTGCTTCGTGCTCCTGGAACAGAGTTGTTGAATGTTAGCATTCCTCAAAAGCTTCAGGCCCAAATCCCTCCTCCATATGATTTTCTAATCTCTTTTGGCTCCTCACATCATTCCATCCCTTTGAACCTGCAGAAATGAAAGCTTTGGGGGAGTTGACTGATTCAGCAGATTGAAATTTTTTTTTTAAGATTTAAAATTAATTAACCTTTTATTTAATATTCTGTTTAGCCTTCTGTAATTTTATGGTGTATTCTTTATTATTATTATTATTATTTAAAGATTTTATTTATTTATTCATTCATTCATTCGAGACACAGAGAGAGAGAGCAGAGATAGGCAAAGGGAGAAGCAGGCTCCGTGCAGGGATCACACCCTGGGCCCAAGGCAGGCGCTAAAGCTCAGCGGTTTACGCTGAGCCACCCAGAGATCCCTTTACTGTGTGTTCTTTTGGGTATTTCCTTTCAAGTTATATATATACACGTAAAGGCTGCTATTTTCCCAGTATTTGTGTTTTCTGGTGTTTTAAATTTTTTTTTCATTTTTTTGAAGTTTTTTTTTTCTCTTCAATTTGTATAGCTCATATTCCTTCCCTTTTTTCCCAGGATGCACATTGTTTCTCATATTGAAATGTTATGTAAATAGGGTGTGTAAAGACTTAAACAGTTAGGAGAGCAGGACGCCCTGGCGGCTCAGCGGTTAAGGGGCTGCCTTCGGCTCTGGGCAGGATCCTGGTGTCCTGGAATCGAGTCTCCCATCGGGCTCCCAGCATGGAGCCTGCTTCTCCCTCTGCCTGTGTCTCTGCCTCTCTCTCTGTGTCTCTCATGAATAAATAAATAAACTCTTAAAAAAAGAGAGAGAGGAGAGCAATATATTAAAGGAGAAATTCACTGTTCCTCACTGTCCTAATGGCTTCATTTCTAAAATTGATCTGAAAATCACCTGCCACTGTTCTGTTCTGATTCTCCTTTACTTGCTCCTACACATTCAGGGTCTTCTAAGGCATGATTTCTGGGGAACCAAAAAAAGAGACAGAAATTCTGGGATCATGTGTTAAGGTGTATAGCAAGAGAGAATGTAACACTGAAAGTTATTTTGCTCTTTGGCCCACAGGTCCTGACAGGAGACAAGAAATAAATGAAGAAAAAGGAGGTTCCAGAACCTAGGTAGTGCCATCTCTGGACCACTTTTGATTGGTGACTAGATTTTTAACTAGAAATTTAGAGCATATCTGGAAGAGACACAAACAGTATCTCAGTTGCTGGCTGTTTCTCAAAACAGAAGAAAATGATCAATGCCCAGGTGATTTTTGTCTTGTTTTATTCTCTCCTTTGTTCCCAGATGGATTTGTAGAGGCTTGTAAAAAATCTGTTCAGTATCTAGAGAAAATAAACTTTGAATCTAACTCCAACACCATGGCAAAGTAGAATCATGAGTATAGTGTTCATGGGTGCCTGAGTGGCTGAGTTGGTTAAGTATCTGGCTCTTGATCTCAGCTCAGGTCTTGGTCTGAGAGTTATGAGTTCAAGCCCATGCCCAGCATGGAGCCCACTTCCAAAAAAATAAAAAATAAAAAAACCATAGTGTTCATATGATTCCTAGTTAATGATTAATGTTGGAACAATACATAACAGAAGGATCCTCTGGCTTACGTTAGCTGTCACACTGCATCTAATATGTGTGACAACCAACACAAGAGAATTATGTGATATGCAGTGACTGAGGAGAAAGCAGAAAGGTTCCTCTGGCACTGAGGAGTCAGGAAAAATTTTATATTATTAGAGATACTGGGGTGGACAGTGTTTTGAGCAGTAGCCTTCTAATAAAGGCAGCAGCAGACTTCCTACTGCTGTTTATTACAGAGTTCTCAGAATCTCCTGTGGGAATAGACCAAGCAAATTTAGGGAACACAATTTCTGCAGGGGACCAATGCAAGGCTCCACGAACAAGTAGCTGAACTATCATTAAACTACAGATTTGGCTTTAGAATATTGCAAGAAATTGTGTCTGGTAAGAGCTTGAGTTATCAGGTACCAGAGTGTTTGCTGTATAACTTCATGTTATCTCATAAGATGCATCATCCTTTCCCATTTTGAGATCTAATTTTTACCTACTCTTCCTTTTTTTTTTCTTTAAAGATTTTATTTATTTATTCATAGACACACAGAGAGAGAGGCAGAGACACAGGCAGAGGGAGAAGCAGGCTCCACGCAGGGAGCCCGATGTGGGACTTGATCCCGGGTCTCCAGGATCATACCCCAGGCTGCAGGCAGCGCCAAACTGCTGTGCCACTGGGGCTGCCCTTTACCTACTCTTCCTTTATTGCTTTTGTTTCCTGTAATTATACAAATGACTCGTGAGTACCTTTTAAAAAAAAAAAACATTTATTTATTTTAGAGAAAGAGAACATATGAGTGAGGGGAGGGGTACAGGGAGAGAGAGAATCCCAAGCTGATTCCCCTCCAAGCATGGAGCCTGCTGCAGGGGCTCTATCCCACAACCCTGAGATCATGTCCAGAGTTGAAATCAAGAGTTGGATGCTCAACTGACTGAGCCACCCAGGAGCCCCTTATGAGTACCTTTTATTTATTTTTTTATCATGAGTACCTTTATTTCCCCCAGAATTATATAGAGGACCCTCATATGTTTTTTGTTTTGTTTTTTGTTTTTTGTATATTTTTTATTGGAGTTCGATTTGCCAACATGTAGCATAGCACCCAGTGCTCATCCCCTCACGTGCCCCCCTCAGTGCCCGTCACCCATCACCCGATCCCCCCGCCCACCTCCCCTTCTACTACTCCTTGTTCGTTTCCCAGAGTTAGGAGTCTCATGTTCTGTCACCTCCTCTGATATTTCCCATCAAGATTACCTTTTAAAGGAAAAAAATCCTCATCGTGGAATACATGTGGGCAAAAAAGTAAATTCCCTCTTTGTGTCCCCTTTCCTTATTCCCTCATCCCACTTTAGCAGATGTTTGGTGCGTTCTTGCTGTCACTGAAACTGTGTATGTCTGTATACATATGTCCATTTACAAATGTACTTCGTTTTTTGTTTTGTTTTGTTTTTAAAGATTTTATTTATTCATGAGAGACACACAGAGAGAGAGGCAGAGACACAGGCAGAGGGAGAAGAGGCTCCATGCAGGAAACCTGATGTGGGACTCGATCCTGGGTCTCCAGGATCATGCTCTGGGCTGAAGGTGGCACTAAACCACTGAGCCACCTGGGCTGCTGAAATGTATTTGGATTTATGTACATCTGTATTTGTAAACACACCTATTACGACATTTTGTGTATCAATGGAATCATATTCCAAAGAACATAATGTGTTGGCTTAAGATGGCATAATTCAAACATCTAAAGGAATAATGAGTGCAACTGATGGGTGACTATTAACTCTATAAAATTCCATTTGTTTATAGTCATACACAACAAAATTAGTTAAACTATGTAAGGCATTTAGTGAGTGCCTCCTAAGTGATATGTGGATCACCTATGTCTGAAATCTTTGCCAGTGTTTTTTAAATATTTTTTTAAACATTTTTTAAATTTATTTATGATAGTCACACACACACAGAGAGAGAGAGAGGCAGAGACACAGGCAGAGGGAGAAGCAGGCTCCATGCACTGGGAGCCCGACGTGGGACTCGATCCCGGGTCTCCAGGTTCGCGCCCTGGGCCAAAGGCAGGCGCCAAACCACTGCGCCACCCAGGGATCCCGCCAGTGTTAATAATAGGACATTATTAGATTGCATAATGTTCAACATTCCCAGTGGTCCAATATTCTTTTGCCTTATTTTGAGATTGGAATCCTTTTTGTTTATTCATTGGCCAGTGGATTTTTTTTCTCTCATGAAATGCCTTTTACATTAAAAAAAATTAAGATTTATTTTATTTATTCATGAGAGATACACAGAAAGAGGCAGAAACACAGGCAGAGGGAGAAGCAGGATCCCTGCAGGGAGCCCGATGCAGGATCTGATCCCAGGACCCTGGGATCACGACCTGAGCAGTAGGCAGATGCTCAACCACTGAGCCACGTAGGTGTCCCCCACCAAAATTTTTTTCTTACTGATTAATAAGTTATTTATATCCACTATATAGTGATCCTTTATTTTGTTTACAAAAAACATTTTTCAGCTTGTCACTTTTATTTTTTGCTTTGTCCATGGTATCTTTTTCAAAACAGATATTTTAACTTTTTCCTCATACAAAATTCATTACTTATTTTCTTCATGGATTTTGGCTTGTGACATGAACATACTTCATATTTGCCTGTATTGCCTCCATAGGTTCCTTTGTTTTATGGTTAGAACTTTAAACAGGAAAAAGGTATTTTCAAGTGTGAAATTAAGTAGGAACCTAAGTTTTAATTTTTCCGAATGGATCTCCATCTCACATGAAATAATCAGAATGTGTTAAGATCAACAGGTAGAATTTGCAGCCTCAGGTGCCTGGGTAGCTCAGTCAATTAAGTGTCTGCCTTTGGCTCAGGGACTCATCCCAGATCGAGTCCCCCATCAGGTTCCATGCTCAGTGAGGAGTCTGCTTCTCCCTCTACCCTTTCTTTCTGCTTGTGATCTCTCTCACAAATAAATAAATGAAATCTTAAAAAAAAAAAAAAAAAGTTTGCAGCCTCTACCAAGTCTGTTCTCCCCTCAATGTAGTAATCTCTACATGATGCAGGGATAGATTATCCCATCAGTTTTCCCCTGATACGGCAGTTCCATTGACAAATAGGTCTCAGTTCATTTCCTGGTGGCATTTGGGTGTAGGCTGCATGACCATAGGATCAGGACACTGAAGATGTTCCACACTCCTAAACTGTTTTTATTCATAGCACTTTTTTTTTTTATTCATAGCACTTCTGACACCAAATGTTTATATTTTCCTCACACCTACTAATTCTGCAACTCTGTGAACACCAACTGTGTGTTCTACAATTCAGCTCAACTTTGACATTCCCTACCTGCAACTAGCATCAGATCCCATAAGTGAGGGCTTAGTTCCATGAGACTGCCCTAACTTTAGGTGCCAGCCAAAAGTCCCAGGTTGTCACTTATATTTGTGGTGACTAGCTGTAAATTTGATGGATCCCACAACTCCCTTTCGGGTTTGGTAACATGCTAGAACAATTCGCAGAGCTCAGGAAAGCACTTTACACACATTTACTGTTTTTTTAAATAAAGGCTACAACTCAGGAATACCCAAATGGAGAGATGCACATGACAAGATATGGGGAGAGGGGTGATGACGTCCTCCCTCAATCACCCTGCCAGCACCTCAGTGTGTTCACCAAACTGGAAATTCTCCAAACCTATTTTTTTTAAGATTTTATTTATTTATTCACAGGAGATACTGAGAGAGAGGCAGAGACATAGGCAGAGGAAGAAACTGGCGTCCCTCCAAACCTATTGTTTAGGGGGTTTTATGCTAGTTTTACTATACAGGCACAATTGAGTAAATCACCAGCCATTGGTGATTTAATTCAACCTGCAGTCCCTCTTCCTTCCCTGGATGTTGGGGAATCTTTCAGGTCTCCCATCCTGAAGCTATGTAAAGGCCTCCAGCCTCTAGTTGTCATATGAGGATACAGAAGACACTCATCACTCCAGAGATTGCCACAGTTTTAGGAACTGTGTGGCAGGAACCAGGGACAAAGACCAAATATATATTTATCACAACATTTTCTGGCTTCTACCATTTTTATTTCACTAAATTTTGTCTTTCTTAAGGTGGTAATGAGTCTCCTCTTTCTGGTTGTTTTCATAATCTGTTCTATAGTTTCAGTGATGAGTCTAGAAACAGACTTCCTGTTTGGTTTTGCTTGTGTTACTAAGTCTGTTGTAGGATGTTTAGTCAGTTCTAAAGTTTTCTCCATTCTGAGATCTTCACATTGCTTCTCTGATTGTCTATAATCACTTCCAAAAACTACATATAGACCTTATTCTATTCTCATTCTTTATTTTTTTTTAAGATTTTATTTATTTGTTCATGAGAGGCACAGGAAGAGGCAGAGACGTAGGCAGAGGGAGAAGCAGGCTCCCCAAAGGGGGAGCCTGATGCAGGACTCAATCCCAGGACCCAGGATCACAACCCAAACCAAAGGCAGATACTCAATCACTGAGCCAGCCAGGTGCTTCTATTCTCATTCTTTATTAACTCTCCTTTATATTTTCTATCTCTTGTGTATCTGGTTCATTTTTTGGTTATTTTTTAAAATTCATATTCTAGTTCACTAATTATCTCTTAAGTATATCTAATATGATGTTAACCTTTAGTGTAAGAATAAGAAACATACATTGGTTTCTGCCTCTAGTTTCTAACACAGGCTTCTAAAATCCTTGTACTTCTATAAGTGAAAAGAGTACTAGAGGCATCTTTTGTTCAAATATTTGGTCTTTGACCTCATCTGTAACAAAATTCCTAAATCCCTTGGAATTTCCTGGGTGATAGGACCATCTCTTGTTTTAATGGCATGACTCTGGGTGGGCTCCAAGGGGGCTGGTCACCAGAAAGACCTATGATCAGAAGTGTGGGGTTTTCAGCTGTATCCCCATTATCCAGAGAGGGGAAAGGGGCTGGAAATGGGGTTCATGACCAACCATGCCTATGTGATGGAGCCTCCATAAAATCCCAAAGGTGTGTGGTTTGGAGAGCTTCTGGCTTGGTGGACTTGGGTGCTGGGAGGGTGACATGCCCCTTGTGCCTAGCCCTATGTGTCCCTTTGATCTGGATGAGATCTGTGTCCTTTATCATATCCTTTTTATAATAAACTAGTATGCAGTAAGTAAACTGAGGTCTCTGAGCCACCCAAGCAAATTAATCAAACCCAAGGAGGGAGTCATTGGAACCTCCAGTCTGTAGCCAGTTAGAAGCACAGGTGACAACATGGACTTGGATTGGTGTCTGAAGTGAGGGCAGGGGAAGTCTGTGGGACTGAACCCCTAACCTGTGAAAAGTGACACTACAGAATTGAGCTGAATTGTATGCCATCCAGCTAGTGTCAGAGAATTACTTTTGAAAATCCGAAAACATCACCTATACATCAGAATTTGTCTCAGCATTGTAGTTACTATTAATATAACAATTTCCTTTATATTCCTTATGAATCAATGAAAGAGAAACACTCATACTAAATAGGACTCTGTTATTACAGGAATCACTGACACTGGAGGATGTGGCTGTGGACTTCACCTGGGAGGAGTGGCAGCTCCTGGCCCCCGCCGAGAAGAACCTGTACCGGGACGTGATGTTGGAGAACTATAGGAATCTGGTGTCAGTGGGTGAGGATAGCTTCCCTGTGTCACTCAAAGGATGCCCAGTCAATAGCCTTTCCTTTCTCAGCTGCTTACACTTCAGAGTCACTGCATTTCTCTGTATGTGCTTGGCAATTTCTCAGTGCCTCCTCTGGCACAGAATAAAAGGGTCTAATGTACGAGGAGCTGCTCTTACTACCAACATAAATAGTGCCAAACATGTGGGTTTTTCTACACCAACAACCAGTTCTCCAACTCTTCAGGTATCAGTGAGGTATCCTGCAATTCATTTTAGTTCTGACACTACCTAGAGTTAGTATCAGACTCCAAAGGTTTAAGGGCTCAGTACCACAGGACTGCTCTCTCTTCAGATGCCAGTTGCAAGTATTGGGTAGCCAATACCCAGGGTAACCACACTTCACTCTAGCTATAAATTGGGCATTCTGGTAACCCCCTTGAGGTATGGTATTTGGCTGGAACAGCTCACAGAGCTGAAGAAAGCACTTTACTTAAGATTACCATTTTATTATGAAGAATAAAACTCAGGTACAGCAGAAAGGAAGAGATGTATAAGGCAGGGTATGAAGGGAGGGGTGTAGACCTTCCATGACCTTCTAGGTATGCCGCCCTCCTAGCACTTCAGGTGTGTTCACCAACCTGGAAACTCCCATCCTGGTGGTTTAGGACGTTTTATGGAGGTTTCTTTATATAGGCATGATTGCTTAAATCATGATTAACTCAATCTCCAGTGGCAGGGGGAGAGGGTTGGAGCTGAAGGTTTCAGCCTTCTGACCTGCTGAGTTATTTCTGGCAACGAGCCCCCATGCTAAAGCTCTATACGGGCCTCTGCCACCAGTCATTAGTTTACAGAAAGACATTCATTCACTCTGGAGAGTCCAAGGGTATTAGAAGTTCTGTCAGGAACTGGAACTTAGACCAAATATTATAATAGAAGATATGCATATCATGGCTGTCACTTAGGAAATTACAAGGGCCTTAGGAGCTCTGTGCAGGAACCAGGTACAAAGACCAAATATATATCATTATGTTACAGTATCATATATGCCCTTTCCTGAGAGAGAAGCTTCTGCTTTGTAGATGTGAAAACTGTCTCAGTCCCTCAAATGTAGCATTCTCCCATCTTGACAGACCCTACCTAGCCCAGTTTAATGAGTCTAAGTGTTCTGTCTTTTCCAATGAGCAGGATATCAAGCCAGAAAACCAGATGTACTCTCCAAGCTGGAACAGGGAGAAGAACCGTGGGCAAAACAGAAGGAAGTCCTCCATGGAACCCGGCCAGGTGAGTGAGAACTGGCAAGCCAGGTAACTGTGGAAGTCACCCTTGGTCAGTGAGAGTTGAATTCTTGGGTCATATGGAGTCCAGGAAGGGTCCAGACATGGTGTTTCCAGACTCATGGTCAGCATTACCTCCTCCCAGCCATGGTGTGTGACAATATGCAAAGAGTATTGCCAACCAGGGGAACTCACTTTAGCCTTTGGTGTCCAGTGTTTTTACTGGGGCTTCATCACACATTGCTTTCATGACTGAACTTTAATTTCTAGCCCCGCCAGAAATCAGGCTAATCCTATAGTTTCCAGTTTCTCTGAATGTCTGGATGTTGGAATGGACATGGCATGGTCCAAAGTCTCCATCATAAATCACGTTAGAATATCCAGTGGCCAGAGCCCCCAGGCAAACAAAGGCACTTCTATCAGGTAGGACATTCTGAGGGCCTAGAGATAACTTCCCTGGAGCCAGTGGCAAGGGCCAGGCCGCTCTCTGGATTAAATTTTAATGGAAGGTAACTATGAAAATGAACAATAAAGGAATTAATGTAGAAATAAAGAGGAAATAGAGTTTATGTTTGTACCATATCAGAATCGAATGACAACACGTATATACAGAGTACATCTACATTTTGAATTAGGAAGATGCCACCATTAATTAGGAATGAAAGCATGAAATAGAAAATATGCAAGGCATGGTGTTGACTATTCAGAGTGGCTTGAAGCTGGCTGGTTGAAAACAGCATTAGAAAGTGTCTACAGGAGAAGCAGTGTAGTAGACACATGGATAAATAGGAGTATTCATGATAATGTACACTTTTATTGCCAGGATGACTCGATCTGATGTGTGAGTAATTGAGGTAGCATGGTGGAGGGTTGTGCTTGGTTTTGTATTTTTTTGTAGCTCTAGGTTGTATGACCTTTCACCTGAACAGTGGTATTGTAGCAATAGTAAGGAATAGCTAGATGTTCTAAGAAAAATTGAAGGTAAAGCTGACACACCTTGGTCTTCAAGGAGGAAGTTCATCCTCTGGTATAACCAAGACACAAATGTAGAACTACTGAACTAGATGCTGCTGGTGGCAAGTGAGGAAACAGTATAACAGGGACACTAAAATGGTAGAAGCTTGGGGATGATTTCTCTACTGAATGCAGATTGTGATTAACATGACAGTTTCCATATGCAGGAGCATATTAGCTTCTGAAGATGGCTACATGGTACGCTGGCCAGCTGCAAAATTTCCTACCAATCATGGTCAGCTTAGTCAGTATGAATGGAACATATGAGAACATGACACAGCTTGACTAAGGTTGGGATGTTGTCCACTAAATCTGATTGATGTTTGTGGAAAGTTAGTTTGATGGTCTACAGAAAGGCAAATTTAGGAACAGGATTATTCTGCAAGAGTCTGTCTCAGCTCACTTTAATTCTGAAGACCTTACTTTCTTACTTGATAGGTAACAAATGCACCTTTATATATTTATTCTGTGCACCTCAATTTGCAAATTTCCCCAATCTCTCTAGTCAGAATTTGGGTTCTCTAAGAATCCCCAGACTAAATGTTGGAATGTCTAAAACCTTCTTCTGTACCTTAATCATCTTTCATTCTCTGTGTCCTCCCAACATTTCTCCAGTCTTCTTTTCTTGATAACAGGTATATATTATTTCCACACTGCTATCTCCATCTATACCTCCAACCAGACCTTGTAGTCTGTACTACATTATCTTATAATAATCCTCTCAAAGTTTATATTCTGCAACACAGACTTTTCCCTGTACATCCTGGATTTCAGTAATATTCCTCATCTCCATTCGACATGCCTCTACCTACCCAGTGGCTCAAGCCATGTAGGTAGCAGGGAAATCCTTGATTCCTCATTCTTTATTAACCACTCTCCATTGAACTCATCATTTAACTGTCTTTTCTTGATGCAAATATATCCTAATTCCCTCCACTTTCAGTCTCCATTGCTCCTTCAATCAGATTTCACAATATCCAACCCCCTTCTTTTTTCTTTTTTTCTTCATTTGATTTTCCTTAACTGTTATATATTCCAAACACCAGCATACTGCCTTGTACACAGGAGCTATTCAGTAAACAGTTTGGAGTAAACAAATGCAACCCTTATAGTTCTGGGTAGTAGTCTCTTTTACCTTTATGATCTGGTGTCTTTCTAAGTACTATGGAATGGTGTTCCTGCAACCCTGTCATTTGCTGCCAAAAATGATTTGTGCATGTTTTACTATCTCTACATATTTTGTGAGTTCCTAGTTAGCAGCAAATCTATATACATTGTCAACTGTGTAATTTTATTTATACTTCCTGCTTTTGCCTTTTGGTTTATTTATATTATGGTTTTTACCAACATATAAGAGATAAGGAACTTTTATTTTATTTTTTAAAAAGATTTTATTTATTCATGAGAGACAGAGAGAGAGAGGCAGAGACATAGGCAGAGGGAGAAGCATAGGGAGCCTGATGCAGGACTTGATTCCAGGACCCCAGGATCATGACCTGGGCTGAAGGCAGATGCTCAGCCACTGAGCCATGTAGGTTCCCCATAAGGAACATTTATATATGGCATTTCATTTATACTATCATCATAGAGTTGTCACTAAAATATCATTTTTAGGAAACACCGAAGAATTTTTTAAAGTTTGATGCAAAACAAGATTATAAAAGGATTCATTGTTCTCTTCTTTTCTAGAAACTAGCAAAGTTGATAATCACCTGCAGGGTCATTGGGAAAATCCAAGAATGCCAAAATTAGGTATGGAACCATACCACAAACACAATGCATTTGGAAATACTGTTCCTCAAAGCAAAAGTCATTTTCCTTTAAGGCAAAATCATATGTTTGAGTTCTGTATAAAAACTTTGAAATCAAATTTAAGTTTAGTCAATCAAAGCAGAAGCTATGAAATTAAAAACTCTACTAAATTCAGTGGAGATGAGAAATTATTTCTGCATGATAAGCATGAAGATTTTCATTCTGCTGTTAAATTCCCTGTAAGTGCAAAACCAATTAGCAATAAGTCCCGAGTCATTAAGCATCAGAGAACTCATGAAATAGAGAAACCTCATGTATGTAGTGAATGTGGAAAAGCCTTCATTAAGAAGTCTCAACTCACAGATCATCACAGAGTTCATACGGGAGAGAAACCTTATGGATGCAATATTTGTGCGAAGGTATTCTCCAGAAAGTCCAGGCTCAATGAACATCAGAGAATTCATAAAAGAGAGAAATCCTTTATATGCAATGATTGTGGAAAAGTCTTCACCATGAAGAGCCGTCTAATTGAACACCAGCGAACTCACACTGGAGAGAAACCCTATGTATGCAGCGAATGTGGAAAAGGTTTCCCAGGGAAGCGTAATCTCATTGTACATCAGCGAAATCATACTGGAGAGAAATGCTATGTATGCAGTGAATGTGGAAAAGGCTTCACTGGAAAAAGCATGCTCATCATACACCAGCGAACTCATACAGGAGAGAAGCCCTACATCTGCAGTGAATGTGGGAAAGGCTTCACTACGAAGCACTATGTCATCATACATCAACGAAATCACACAGGAGAGAAACCCTATATATGCAATGAATGTGGGAAAGGTTTCACAATGAAGAGTCGACTGATTGAACACCAGCGAACTCATACAGGAGAGAAACCCTATGTATGTGACGAATGTGGAAAAGGATTTCCCAGGAAGAGTAATCTCATTGTACATCAGAGAAATCATACGGTAGAGAAATCCTACATATGCAGTGAATGTGGAAAAGGTTTCACCGTGAAGAGCATGCTCATCATACACCAACGAACTCATACTGGAGAGAAACCCTACATCTGCAGTGAATGTGGGAAAGGCTTTCCCTTGAAGAGTCGCCTGGTCGTACATCAGCGAACACATACTGGAGAGAAACCCTATAAATGCAGTGAATGTGGGAAAGGTTTCATTGTGAATAGTGGACTGATGTTACATCAGCGAACTCACACAGGAGAGAAACCCTATATATGCAATAAATGTGGAAAAGGTTTTGCCTTTAAGAGCAACCTTGTGGTACATCAGCGAACTCATACTGGAGAGAAACCCTTTACGTGCAGTGACTGTGGAAAAGGCTTCACCATGAAACGCTATTTAATCGTACATCAACAAATCCATACAGGAGAGAAATCCTACATATGCAATGAATGTGGTAAAGGCTTTGCTATGGAAACTGAGCTCATTTTACATCAGCAAATTCATACTGGAGAGAAACCGTACGCATGCAATGAATGTGGTAAAGGCTTCACTGTGAAAAGCCGACTAATCATTCATCAGCGAACTCATACAGGAGAGAAACCTTTTATATGCAGTGACTGTGGAAAAGGCTTCTCCTCAAAGAGAAATCTTATTGTACATCAGAGGACTCATAATGGAAACAAACGCTAATGACACAATGAATATGGTCACACCCTCAGGAGGAAAATATGCCTCATCCAACATAAGAAATTTCACACAGGATTGACTTCCTTAATTTGTACTTTGGAAAATCCTGTTCATTACCCACCAGGGAATGTATGCAGGAGAAAAACTATGTATGCAGATTATGTGAGAAAGCCTTTAATACCAAGTCAGCACCCATTGTACATCAAAGAATTCATAGAATAGAAAGACTCTATGGATTCAATAATGGGGGTCCACCTTTCTCTCATTTGTCAAACCTTGTTTGTTTATTTATTTATTTATTTATTTATTTATTTATTTATTTATTTAAGCCTTGTTTATACACACAATAAATGTTTAAGTCAAGGCACATAATCCTTTGCAGAGAATCTGAACTCATGACATACAAGTGAACTCCTGCAGGGTACACACCATGATAGTTCAGTAAACTCATAAGACATCAGTGTGCTCCAAGGATACCTGAATATAGTCAGTATAGATTAATTAGCCTGTTGCTAGGTTTTCACCCTTGGAAAATTATGGAATTTGCACAGGAGTGTCGTTTAATGAATGCAGAGAATGTGCTAGTGCCTTCAGTGATCAATTACCTCACATTGTATGTCAAAATAGGAAAAAAATACCCTTATATGTTCAATGCAGAAAAGTCCTGAGGAAACATTTCTAAGTAATTACATATCTGAAAAGTATATATTAAGATGAATTCTTATGGATGGAGAGAGTAGAAAAGCCTCCTATGGGAATAAAGACCATGTCCCATCAGTGATCAAAATAGACCACCAGTAAGCTTACACACAGTAGCAATGTGATGATTGTGGGAGAGCCTTTGCCTAGAAGCAAAACTTCAATAATTGTGTGATACTCATGTTGAAGGAAAATGGCAGTAAATATGGCAGGATTTTAGCAATACATTCTGCCTCATCATTTCTCATGAATTCATACAGGAAAAAAAAACCTCATGAACACACTAAATGGGGAGAAAATAACAAAATATCAGAAATTTTGAAGGAAAGAAACCTCAAGAAAATGATGCATACCTGAGTATTTCATCACAAGTCTAAACTATACCTGATGTCCATTTTGGGACAGGATACCTTGAGCCATATTCTCAGTGATGCCATAATTTTAAAGTAGGCTGTTCTCAACACTGATTAAAGTTTCATGCAGGGGTGTTCTGTGTCCAACTTGTGTCATTATATTATTGGCACTTACATTACTTAGGTCCTAAAGTCATCTCTTTCAGCCAAAAGAAAAAGGAATATATTTATAAAATGTAATTTAACATATTTGGGTGTATTTATTCAATTTATAATTAGTGTTAAGTAGTTTACAAAAATAACATGATTTTTCTAAATTTTTTTGAAATAATTTTAGACTCACAAAATATATGAAGTATACAAACTTCCTGAGTACTTGTACTTAGCTTCTTCATTGACATTATTTTACATAACCTTAATACACAATCAAAACCAATGAAATGACATTGGTACGATACTGTTAAGTAAACTATAGACCTTATTTGGTTTTCACTAGTTTATGCATGCATTTATGTGAGGTTTTGTTTTGTTTTTTAGTGTAGAGTAGTAAGAAACTTTACCACATATGTAGATTCCTGTAAATCCCACCACAATCAGGATGCAGAATTGTGCCAACACAAAAACATCCATGTGCTGCCCCTTTATAATCACATTCTCCCCCACAACCCTGACCCATAGCAACCACTGACCAGTACTCCATCACTCTGATTTAGTCATTTCAAGGATTCTGTTAAAATGGAATAATACAGTGTAACCTTTGGGATAGGCTTTATTTCATGCAGCAAATTGCCCTTAAGAGTCATTCAATTTGTTGGGCATATAAATAGTTTTAGTTTTTGTTACTGAGTAGTATTCTTTTGTTATGAATGTACCATAATTTCTCTGTTCGATGTTGATGGACTTTGGGTTGTTTCTAGTGTTTCACTGTTATGAATAAAGATGCTATGAATCCAGTTTTGAGTGAACATAAGTTTTCATAAATGCCCATGTTTGTGTTTTTAACTTTATAAGAAATTGCCAAACTTTTCCAGAATAGCCATACTAATTTACATTCCCGCCAACAGTGTATGGATGCTCCAGTGGTTCTAGCACTTGGCACAGTCATATTTGATCCTAGATGTCCTATCAGGTGTGTGCAGCATATAATGGTGGTATTAACTTATTTTTCCCTAACAGCAAGTGATGCTTAACACCCTTTAAAATCTTTTAAAATATTTTATTTATTTATTCATGAGAGACACAGAGAGAGAGAGAGGCAGAGACATAGGCAGAGGGAGAAGCAGGCTCCATGCAGGGAGCCCGATATGAGACTCAATCTCGGGACTCTGAGATAACACCCTGAGCTGAAGGCAGACACTCAACCGCTGAGCCACCCAGGCATCCCATTAAATATAATTTTAAAAACTCAAGAATAGCCTGTTATGTTTGAGGATATACTTACTTTTTAAAAAAGATTTTATTTATTCATGACAGACACAGAGAGAAGGCAGACACATAGACAGGGAGAAGCTGGCTCCATGCTGGGAGCCCAATGTGGGACTTCATCCTGGAACACCGGGATAACATCCTGGGCCAAAGGCAGATGCTCAACTTCTGAGCCACCCGTGCATCCCTATATTAACCTTTTTCATTTCCTCTTCTTCATTCGCCATGTTTCATGTTTCCTTCTGTCATTTCCTTTTTGTTAGAATTTCCTTTATCAATTCTTTTTGAGCAGGTCTGATGATAGCATATCTTAGTTTTCCTAGCAAAAGGCCTGTTGTTCTTTTTTTTTTCTTGTTCTCTCTTTATCCAGTTATTTCCCTTGATATAAGAATATGTGGGAGGCTGGGTGGCTCAATCACTTAAGCCTCCAACTCTTGGTTTCAGCTCAGGTCAGGGGACTGAGCCTCATATTATGCTCTGTGCTCAGTTCAGAGTCTGCTCCAGATTCTCTCTCCCTCCCCTTCTACCAACCCACCCCCTCACGTTTGTGTGCATACATAACTCTCTCAAAGAAAATCTTTAAGATAGGGGGATATACAATCCAATTTACAAATCCTACTTGTGACTCCAAAAAAATTGCCATGCAGTGTTATGGCAGAATTCAATTCCCAACTTCACGTTGAGTAACTCATTCCTTTAAAAATATTTTTTAAAAAAATAAAAATATTTTTTGAGCGTCTGCACTGTGCTAGGCACCATTGTAATCACTGGGGACACATCAAAGAATGAAACAGGCCAAGTCATGGCCTTTATAGAGCATATGGTTTAGTGAAGATGACTGAGTAAAATAAGTACATATAGAATGTTAGTTAAGTGCTATGAAGAAATAAGCCTAGTACGTGGGTTGTAGTAGAGGAGCTATTTTAGTACAAGTTTTCAAGGAAGGCTTTTCTGAGCAGATGTAATTTGACCTAAGACCTAAATGTACTGAGGGTTACCAGCAAGCATAATACTTGTAAGCCAGGAACACTCCAGATCTGTTTCTAAGTGTTTTCTCTGGGCTTCCTGCCTCAGGATTCTCTGAGAAGTTTGTAAAAGATGCAAATTCTTGAGTCGCACCCCAGACCTCCTAAACCAGAACCTCTAGGATTGGGGCCCAAGACCCTGCATTTATAAAATGATTTTTGTGATCTATACTTAAACATCTCTGCCCTAAATCCTGGATTAGTGCACCTTTCACCACCCCCACATTGTAACAGGATGGATTCTCAGTAGACCCTCTCTACAGTAAAGAATCAAATATGAGTGCTCTACCAACCAGGCCCCAGATCCCCTCCACTTCTTATCCTTCAGTGAACTTATACATCCTGCCATGGCAAGGTCAGATCAGCTTATTCCTGAAACCAGACAGGCAAGGTTCCAGAATGGGCTGCCCAGCCTCCCCTAAGCTCTCTGGACCAGATGCTGAATTCACTTTTCAAAGCTTGACATCCCAGGTGAATGAGGTTTAATCCCTGAAGGGAATATAAATATAATACTCTTACTATTGGGGATCCCTGGGTGGCTCAGCAGTTTAACATGTGCCTTCAGCCCAGGGCATGGTCCTGGAGTCCTTGGATCGAGTCCCACATTGGGCTCCCTGCGTGGAGCCTGCTTCTCCCTTTGCCTGTGTCTCTGCCTCTCTTTCTCTCTGTGTCTCTCATGAATAAATAAAATCTTTAAAAAATACTATTAAGAAATTATGTGAGCAATAAATTCTTAATGTATAGAAATTAGAAAACACAGGGGTGCCTGGCTGGCTCAGTTGGTAAAGTGTGGTAAAGTGTGACTCTTGATTTCAGGGTCCTGAGTTCAAGCCCCATGTTGGGCAGAGAGCCTTCTTAAAACTTAAAAAAAAAATTAAAAAGTTAATTAGAAAACATATAAATCATTGAAGAATTTTTTTTTAAAGATTTTATTTATTCATGAGAGACACAGAAAGAGAGAGAGGCAGAGACTCAGGCAGAGGGAGAAGCAGGCTCCACGCAGGGAGCCCGACGCAGGATGCGGGACCCGATCCCCAGTCTCCAGGATCAAACCCGGGCTGAAGGCAGTGCTAAACCGCTGAGCCACCGGGGCTGCCCAGAGTTTAGCATTGTTAACAATATATTCTCCCCAAATTTTCAAATATATTTAAGTATATTTCATGAAAGAAAAATGAGACTAGTTTTTAATATTTACAATGCTGTGAATATCTACATCATTAAATATTCTAAAACTCCGGCACCCCGGGTGGCTCAGCGGTTTAGCGCCGCCCTTCAGCCCAGGGCGTGACCCCGGGGTCCCGGGATCGCATCCCGCGTCGGGCTCCCTGCATGGAGCCTGCTTCTCCCTCTGCCTGTGTCTCTACCTCTCTTTCTCTCTCTGTCTCTCATGAATAAAGAAATCTTTAAAAGAAATTCT